CTATTTTTCTCCGATGCCCGGTCAAACTTTTCCCCATATTAAGGTACTTCTAAAAACTCTATGGACCAACCGTTCAATAACGTCTTTTTTTGTATTGCAAGGGTGCGCAGCCTTCGGAAAAAGGCTGCGTACCCGTGCTTAGTCCTTCGGAAAAATTTCGGAATGGTGCCGGTATCAGTGGGTTTATGGTTTCATCTAAAGGTGACCATTTTTCCTGGGTCCACGTTAACATTTAAATCCAAAAGGCCAAATTACCGTTACTATCAAGTTCTTCTATGGTGAACTGCAAGTTGGGATGCAATTTAATGGCAGCCTCTAGGACTGCCCCAGGATTGGTCTTGACAGTTCTAACTATGTCGTCCATATATCTTAGAAAAACTTTAACACCATTCTCACTCCGGTCTGCTTCTTGTTGTGTTTTGCAAGTCATGCAATACCATACTGTTTCAGGGATGTTTGCGTATTTGGTTTCCAATATGCTATCACTCCCTAATTGGCAACAACTCAAACAAGCTTCGCATTTTTCAACTTTAGCTCGTTTTGTCACCTTTTTCTGACATCCGGGGCCCGACTTCCTTGTTATCCTCATTTAGCACAGTCAATTTTGGTACTTCTTTCATAAATGCAGGTTCGTATTCTATCAGCCAAAACTTGGCAGGCATTACTGGAAGGAAGGTGCCCATTTCTAAACCTTCTTTTTGTACATACCACAAACCATTGCATTTACAGTGTACCTTACTCACTGTCAAATTTATTAGTTTCTCATAGTTTTGATGTTTTTTCCGGAGGATTGATGTGATCATTTAATCAAATGAGAAAAAATTGAAAGATTAATTATTGGTAGAACAATTTAGTGAGATAATGAATCTGACAGACAGCGTGATCATAAAAATTGAAAAAGACATAAGCAAAGAATTACTCGCCATAAAAAAGAAAAACGAGATTAGCGAAGCGCTGTATACAAGGTTAAAATCAAAATGGGCGCAGCCGACTAGGCTATATGGTTTAGCAAAATTGCACAAACGAGGCACACCAGTTCGTCTCGTTAAAGGGCAAACATAGAAACGAAAGCCCCAAATGGCCAGGGAGATCTTCGAGAAAACAGAATTGAATTTTGATGAGAGTATAGTTGCCCTTGATGAAAAGAGTTTGCACACTAATATCCCGCTCAAGAAAGCTGTTGAAAAAGCCCTGAGGAGATTGTCTCATTTTCATTACTAAAAAAACCCACCTCCTTATCAAGCGGCACTCCCACCAGGCCCTTGTCCTTCAAATGTTTTCTAGCTATTTCAACACATTTGTCAGAGGGGGTCTGTTTCACGTTCTTAGCATATCTCTTTCCAGCTGCTTCAGTCTCACAAAATGTTTCTCCGATTATTCTATTAGCTTCAGTTCAGATATTAAACTATCAATATCCGCAAGGAAGTGAATTTCTTCGAATTTGTCTCGTAACGGACATTTTGGTCCAAAACTTTAAACTTCCCTCCCCACTGAGTCAAAATCACTTCATGTAAGCTTCTGACTGATCTATCATCCAAGTTTTTTAATTGTCTATCCTGTCTTTCCGAGAGTTTTTCAAGTTTTTTGTTGTGTCGGCTTATCAGTTTGTTGACAGTACACCTTGCATGCAGGTTTAGATAGAATATTACCGAAGGCCACCACTTTTCATTTATACCCCTTCTCGCTACCTCCCTTGCTTTCGCTATGTTCCCCGATGCTTTAATAATATCCGCGTTTGCCTGGCTTATCTCAGATCTAATGAGTCTTAATTGAAAGCTGTGCACCGCTTGATCCGAAAGAAAAACACCGTTATCAGGCACGCGAAACTGTAAGAAATCTGGTATAATGTCGCTATCGAGACATTTTCTCAGAAATTTATTTCTCAAGAAACTGCTATTAATTTTCTTTAAAGTTTTTTAAAAAAAAAAATAACCCAAGTTTTCCGTTTAGACTCAATCTAAGGAATGGTTGTGGTAGCCAAATGCGTTCATTTCTTCTTTGCAAGACACAAGCAGAAGAGAAAAAACAGCCCTGGCAGTATCTTACCACTTATTGGTCGTTTGGCTTCAGCTGAAAATCCCCAGCCAGCACCTCTGCCCTACGCGCATTTGCCCGGCGGCGTCGCTGCGTTGGTTTCTTGATCTGGACCCGAATCTTTGAGAAAATGCATGTCAGGTGGTCTCGTTGGGAGAGGGCCATCCGTAGTCTATTTACACCAGTTCGCTTGACTGGTGTAGTTGGAGATAATCTCTGAGGATCGCAGGATTCTGTCTCTTGCTTCTCGAAAAAAGATTACCGGTTGTCTTTTTTGAGGAGTATTTCTATTTTCCGCAGAGCCTCAAAATTATCGGGAGTGCTCGTTCTTCTGCAGTTTTTTTGTTTTCGCTTCGAATGTTGATACGCCTGTAGCTCATCAAGAGGGCAGGGCGTATAGTGGTTAGTTCGATGGGATGATATGCGGTTGTTCAGGACATCGTGCTAGAGGATAATCTGCTTACTGGCCAGAGGTTGGTGTTCCAACAATACTCGCAAACTCTTCCCCTGTTCAAGATATTGGGGTTCAAAGAAAGGCCGGGGACTGCGTAGACCTTCCGCTCCCTCTCTCTCCCATCCTCTCGCTCAAGATCTTTCAGGCTGTGAAAAACGGAGTTGATAGCTACAATCATCGCCATTTGAACTCAAACACTATTGACAGTATGAACAAGAAGCTGATCAAACCGATAGTTTTTTCAACCGATTGCTTAGGGTGCGCGTGCCCTAGCTTTGAGAGTTTTCTTATCAACTCTGCGAGAAATGGGGCGTTTTTTCCGAGGAGTCCAGGCTAGGTAGTTTTCTTCAGCTCAAATTCTGCTTTTTGTTGTTGCTCTATCGTCTATTTGGAGATAATCTCTGCTTTCAACAACTAAAGAGTCCTCAATTTTTCTCGAGTTGCTATTTTTAGATTGGCCGGATGTTGAATACATGTTGGCAGTCTTCAATATTGGTGTCGCACTTGCTGCAGAGCTTCGATTCGAAGTTCGTTTTGAGTCGGTGCCCTCGTTTTGACTAGCTTGCAGGAGGAACCTGATTCGTGTTGACCCAGAACTCCTCTGTTATTCGGTTGTGCTGGCTGTTTGATCTTAATAAATGCAGATGTAAATCAGTGTCATTTTAACGTCACTATGGATGAATTTCGTGACTTTTTCATTGAAGTGGCTGGCAGTGTTGTCTTCGTGTCTCTGGCGGTAGTCTCGTTATCGATATATAATCTCCGATGGCTCTGTGAGATATCAAAAGCATTATTCGTCTCGGCCCCCGTTAAGTCCTGAAAGCGCGCGGAGTGCGTTGTTTTTTTTTACCGTTGGGCTCATGCAAATTGTTGTTGTTGTGTTGTTGTGAATTTTCAGTAGGATACTGATGGAATGATATCCCCAAAGTTCTCAAAATTTTGTCCAGTTATTTCGGCACATGTTGCAGTCACAGAAGAGGACTCATGTGCACTTGTTTTGTTCTGAGAATTGATCGTCGAAAAACTTCCACATCATCTGTATCAATGTTCGCTTTAAGCCTCGCATTTCTCGAAATTCAATTTTCTGATTTAGTCGGTTTATTAGACGGCACGTCCTGAATGTATACTCTCCTCTAGCTTTTTCACTTCTGGTCTTGTTTAGGTTGAAAATTTCTTTCGTTCTTCCTGGACTTTTGCTATGTATTGACTGAAGGCCAACATGAATGATGGCGTACAGGTCCTCCATCGCAATGCAGTTTGCGAAGTTTGCTTGTGTAATTGTTTCTATTTATTGAAAAGCAGGTTACCAGAAGGTCAAAAGTATCATAGTAACCGAGGTTACAGTCAGGAGTCCCTTCATCACGTATTCCAGTCAAAATCCTTGGAATTTTCTAGATATGGAAGTGATAATGATAAAAGAAGATGTCTAGTGTTGATGTCATTACAATTAAAATCGATACGGGTTACATTCGAAAAGCTAGTTTTGAAGAATTTTTTTTCGCTGTGGAGTCAAGGGAACGTTCACGCAGTCTTGTATAAGTATCTGTAGAACCGTAGCCTCCCATCAGGTTATTTTGTTTTGATTTTTTTTTCGGTTTATTTCGTGTTAGATTTGTCAATATGGTGAAGGACTAGTGTAGTAACTTCGACTATTATGATAGTTTCCGATTGAATTTAGTGAAGAAATGGTAAAAATGGATAGCGATGCAACAATAAGTCAGACGTTGTTTTAACGTTTCATGTTAACGTAAATTGCGCTATTTCGTTCATTTTTATTCCGTTTTTTATTGCTTACGATTATTGTTGTTTTTCAGTAATTCTGATGATGCCGTATTTAACGAAAACATTCAAAGTATTGATACTTGTTTTTCTCACCGAAAATATTAAAAGTTAAGAATGCTTTTCACTTAAGATATTAGAAAACATCAAAGTTTGACGCGTTTCGATTTTATTATCATCATCAGGACTGAAAATCAAAAAAGGAACTGATTATAAATACAGACACTAAACAATGACAGAAACAACTTACTAGCTGATATACATCAAACATAGAAACAAGAAAATCCCGCGCCTGCCTCTGCTCACAGTTTCAGGGTCAAGTGTCGCTGCGCATACTCTTCTCTAGTATTTAGCTGCGGGTCCAGTTGTGCGATAAAGATAGCTTCCAAAGATAGTTTGTCGGAAAACCTCGTCTTATCAACGATCTTGCTCTTCACATCTTTCATATGACCGACACAATTCAGAAAATGCTCTCCTAGTGGAGATGTTCGCTTGAGATGCTCTGAGAGCCGAGTGGCAAAATGTCTGTCATTGTTTAGTGTCTGTATTTATAATCAGTTCCTTTTTTGATTTTCAGTTCTGATGATGATCATAAAATCGAAACGCGTCAAACTTTGATGTTTTCTAATATCTAATGGATACAAAGTTTACCTCTTAGCGACTTTTCACTTAAGCTTCCCGAGGATTTCTTTTGTACAGTTTATGCGTTTTCTACGAACTTTTTTTCAGATATTTTTGTCTATTATTTCGGCGCCATTAGGGCTTAGTTTTAAAACGTCGTTTTGTAATGCAAACGTTCATTTGAGTCAATGGAGAAGTTAATGCGTCGGATTGAAGAGCAGAAGCAGGGAAAAAGTGCAACACCAGCAGGTATCTATTATATAGACAGAATTAGATAGAATTACTTTGTTCCCATTGAATGCTAATTGAATCCTTGGCAGATATTCAAGAACTGCTAAAAAGAGATATTTCATGGGAGGAGACGAATGGTTTTCATGAAAATGGAACACATCAGGCTCAAACCAAAGTCAGGAAAGTTGCTCAAGGACCCGCACCACCGAATTACAAAGGTATAGTTTAAGTTATTAATAATGCTTGATGTGCGTGCGAAGGGTAAGATTGTTTTTGCTTATTTAATGCTTTTGTTTCAGGTTTTAGCAAAATTGAAGACATCAGTCATTTGAACGCAGCAGCAAGAACGAATCATCACCGTGAGCATTGCCTATTTATAACTGTTTTAGTTAAAACCTTGAAGTATACTGAAAGGGTTCGACTGAATCGTTTTAAATATCGTATGGTTGCAAAATAATCTAATGAAATAACCCAATTCTTCAATTTGTGAACTTCATTTCGTGGTAGTTTTTATATGCCAATGAAGGAAAAACTGTTGTATGTTCCGCTTGCTTTGCCGAAACTCCTATGCGAACTCCTTTTTATGCGTGAATTTTGTTGTTTAGCTCATTCAAATCAACAAAGGACTGAGAATGGTACCAGTGTAGCGTCGAAGAATGTAACGAAGCGAAAACCGACCAAGCCCGTTGCAGTTGTCCGCAAAGTTGCGGTCTATAACGAAGAAGCGCATCAGAAAAATCCGACAATTCTAACCACCGATTCCTGGAAAACTGGATTCAAACCAACTGCATCAGGTTTCATATTTTAATCTTTCTGCCAATGAACTTCAATCGTCTAGCTTTGATATCGTATTCATCAAGCTAATTTTGGAGCATCCTTTATCAAGCTACGATAAAACAATCTGAGATCTCATTGAAAGAGCTGAATTACCACCAAATTAAAAACCAGGATTTTCAGTAGCTTGTAAAGATGTTTTTTTTTAGTTGCCATCGCTTACGCGCGGTTCAAAAGGCGCTATAATTTAAGTTTTCGTTTGTTCTAGTAAAAAGTAGTCATCCCAATACGGAAAAGGTAAAAATTGCCTCCGAACACCAATCAACAGCGGTTGCTGCATCCGTTCCATTGAAGGGGATGACTGTTGCAGCCAAGTCAGCTGGCAGCGTCACCTACCGTCACCCGAAAACAGAGGAAAAAGAACAAGAAGTGGCCTCCAGACCTCCCGTGTCAAAGACAGCGAGAGAAATATTGTCTGAGATCCAAGATGAACAGAAAGGTGCGACCGCTCTCTTTGAATTAGTTGTCGAAAAAGTTGGACGGATTAAAATACCAAAACGAGATATCAATTTAGAATTTTTGGAGCTCCAGTGGCAACATTTTGTTCGGCATTTTTAGTGAGCATTGTAAGCTTGTAAATGTTTGAGGTTTTCGATAAATACAAGTATTTGAGATCGAGTTTTTTTTCGGTATTTTCTCTGCGCTCTGTAAGCCTGCAATTTTTGGAAGTTGATATGCGATGTCGTTTCAGTTATCTCGAAACAGTTGCTAGAAAGTAACGTGGCAGTAAAGCGCAAAGCGAAAGAGCCAGAGAAACAGGCAGCAGTCCAGCAGCATCAACATCCTCAGGAGCAAATAGTGAGCAAAGCTAAAACATACGACACGGACTCAATTAGACAGTACATGGCAAAGAAGCGACATCTGGATAAACTGAAAGATAGACAGAACCAAGAGGCGGAGAGACGGAGACGTGAGGAGAAGGAAAAGAGGCTAGAATATTGCTTGCTACTATCCTACTTAAATGATAAGGGAAAAATTTTGATCAAGGTTGTTTACTTGGGATGAAAATCAATTCAAGTCATAAAAAAGTTATTTTGAGGCCAGGTAATGGCAACGATATTGCATCAATCAGTGATTATTTGGTGCCAGTTAATTTCTCTTGAATATTATGGTAGATAAAAGTTCATCATAAATAAGATCAGAGTTTGTTCAGACTTCGAGAGCTGGAGCGGAAACGAAGAGATGCGGCTTCCCGATCAGTGAAGAGACCTTTTCACCCCGAGATGAACCCAACAGACTTTATGGGGAGTGAGCGAATTATAGGTAAAACTGTGTTTTTAATCGGCTCAATTGTAAAGATTTCCTTTTTCGAAGTAACTTATTTCACCTGCAAAGTATTCGATGTATGAATTAATACAGAATTTTGGTCTGCAAGTTTTAAAAATTGATCCAGTTTATTTTTCTGGTCTTAAAAAAACAGTCCAAAAACAAATAGGTTGTAGGAATATTTTGTTTATGCACCAATGTTTCTCAGCGTTTGGGAATTAATGATTTTTTTGATGAAATTTTGATTTGAATTGAACCGTTCGGAGAGTAGTTTTTCGATAAAAATGGAGACATTTTAAATAGGAATGGAGTTGAACGGAGACGAAGACGATGGAACTGATGAGATGGATGGAGGTGGAGGAGGGTCAGAAGGTCATCATGATTCAAAACAGGAGACAGTAAAGCGAGCAAACAGATTTGACGCCAGACACATGGAGGTATGTATGATATCTCTTGATTAAGAAAAAAGAGTTATCAGGGATGAACATAGAAAAGCTGGAGTCGAGAAATTTGGTCAATAGCTGTTGGCATTTCGCCATCATTTTTTGAAGAATCTTACTGAAAGTAGAGAAAATAGAAAAGGCCCCTTTTTTGTTCTACCGCAAATTTGTTTCGGATATTGAACACTGATTATAGTAACACCGTCAACCGATTTTTGAAATAATGATTAAACGATTGCTGCGAACTTCTACATAATTACACTAGCAAGAGAAAGTGTCTTGTAATCGGAGCTAGACTTTTTTCCTGTAAACAACTTTTCTCACAAATCTTGCTTGCTTTATGATCCAGCCTTGATAACTTCCAGGTTCGTTCCCACTTGGTCTAGAGGTTAGAGGTAACGTGTTCACCTTTGCACCCTTAGGTGTGGAGTTCTAGTCCCGGTCGGACTTTTTTGCAGTATGGAGGAAGTTGAATGATCGGGCTTTCGTTTGTCTGCTCAAGTATTGTCGGTTTATTTGCCACATCACTGGTTTTTCTTGTGCTGTAAGTAATTTTCATTACAAATGTAAGCCTTTTTTGTTGTAGTTTAAGGGGGGCTTCATTTTTTTTACAAAATCATTTTTTTCCGGCTCTCAACTGGTGTCTGCTTGATAGTTGTCGGCTTTTGTTTCCTCTTCGGAAGTCTTGTTCCTTTAGTAATTTGATATTCAATTGTTTGGCTTGGCATAGTTACTTAGAGTAAACTCTTATCCAGACAAACGAAAATTTTAGTAGAACCAGTTTTCTTTGAACTTTTTTTCTCAACTTGTTTTTTAATGTTTGTTACAAATAGTTTAAGTTGCAGGCCCTGCACATTCCTGCGAAGACAAAGGTTCATGTTTCGATTCTGACTTTTTTTTGCTTGTCTTCTTAATTTTAAGCAGCTTAGATACCTCAGCTCGGAATTTGCCTATGATTTGAGCACCCTTACTATACTTGAAAATAGTTTCAGTATATTGGGATTATGTACAATTAAGTGCGTGCCACGAAACTTAATTGCGTGCGATGAAGTTTTTAAAATTTTTTGAAAATTGCGTGCCATGCACTTTGTACTCTGGCGATCAGCGTACGAATCTTCTTTTTTTCTAACCTAACTCGCAAATAAAAAGGCTCAGTAAATAAGCGTCCGTGGCTGAGTGGTTAGTGCGTGAAACTCCTAGTATATAGGTCGCAGGTTCAAATATCGTAATCTCTAGGTAGTAGGTTTACACAAGCGAAGCGGATTGGTGTCGTATTACGAACTTCCCAGTTTCTAACGCAAGCTGCAGTTAAAAGTGCTCTTTTTTGATGGCCTATTTCCAACAATAATATTAAATCTGGTTTACTTTTGCTGCATAACCGGGCGTCTTTGCATCTGATTTGTTGGTGGCTAGTTTTGCGGTTTTTTCACCAGTTGCAGTTTCGCCTGTTTTAAATTTTTTCTCTTAGTCTTCGTCTTCGCGTTGTTTTCCTTTTTGAAGAAAATGAATAATGCTCTCTCAAATTTTTCAAAATTTTGATTTTCTGATTGCAATCAAACTCACATACATACATACATGCATACATACACACTTACATACATACATGCATATATATTCTGTTTCCTCGCAAATTTTTCATTCGCCTATTTTGAGTTTTTATGAATCCTATGGGATAGTTCGTACTTTTTTCTGATTTTTCTCTAAGGAAGCAATTGTGTTCAAGCTTTCAATTCAATATGAGCCTTTCATACAACCGCCTACTATTATTGAGGCATGGACGAATTACTGAAAAAAGGGTAGAATGGTAGCGTTTCAAAATAAACCTTCTTGCTGATTGGAATGCGCTCTTAACACATTATTTAATCATTTAAATGGAGGGGTTCCGAAAAATTAATTGGAGCAAGACTAATCAATTATTTGGTGTACTAATCAATTAATTTTAATTGGGCGCATAGACCAATCAATTATAGCAATTAATTGGTAATTATTTTGGAAGAAAGAAAAGAATGGTAAAACAAGGTTAGCAGTGATTTTTTCCACTTTTTGGGAATTGATCGGAACAAAAACAATTGCCCTTGGTGAAAAAAGCTGATATTGTTTTTAGAATGGTGCCGTCAACCTCAATACATCCTTGGATTCGTCGGACAAGGAAAATAGCAAATACTCACACCGCCCTAGAAGACTAAACAACCAGCCCCCAGTCAGCAATTCCATCGAGTCGGGAAGAAGTGGACCTAAAATCAAATTTGACGTCAGCGACCTTCTAGAAAGTTCCGATTACACATTAGATGAAGATCGCGTTTCAACGGCAGTGCGCCATCAGAATAAAGATTCAATCTCTACTTCAGAAGTAAACGAACAACTCAAAAGGTCGAAAGCTCTTCTGGCCGAATTGAACATGAAACGAATGGGCATCCCTTCTTCGGGTCATGCTAATGGCAGCAAAGTTAAAATGAATCGCAGTCTAAATGATTCGAACGTTTCGTCAATTCCAGTTTCAGATGTTGTTTCTAAAGAAAACCAATATGATTTGAATATGCAGAGACCCGACTCTCATTTTTCGGACGAAAATCAGAGCTCAGATTTTAACAATCGTCTGATGAAACTTAGCAGAGCTGCGACTGATTTGAGAAGCCGGCTTTCGCATGAAACGAAAACACTGGCTGACAAAATAAACCCAAGTAAGTATAATATCAATTTCTCATTTCTTGACGTTTTCCGCAAAAATGACACGGTTCTGTGTTACTTAACTATTTGCTCTGTTAGAACTCATTTGCAACTCAACTGGAAAATGTGTCATTATTCGCAGTTGTTTTTGTTTCAAAGTTTAAACTAATCCTTCCATGATAACCTGTGATTGTTTTTATAAGTCAATGAACTCTTATATAGGTCGTGATGATTTGTTTTTCAGAAAAAGGAAAAATTTTTCACGCTTAAATTCACTTTTTGCGGTTTGACTTCGATTTTTTTTTAAGACTTCTTCTCCTTTGTTAAAAGGAAGGCAAACTCCACTATCGAACAGCAAAAAAGGAAAAGGTCACGAAAAACGTTATTGACTTCTAGTTTCGAAAGTGGAATTTAATTTTCAGATTTCCCAGAGAAATATAAACCTCACCTAATAATCAAGATTTCTCAAATCGGGTTAGTTTTATCAAAAAAAGACAGTTGCAATCATAAATTGTTCTTGAAATTCAAAGAATTTTAAGGCCAATTTTTTGAAATGCGAAATTTGATGTTTCTCCGTAAACAAGTCTGTTTTTTTCCTGTTTCCTTGCGTTCATTGACTCGTTTCCAACTGTCTGTTGGATATTTTTTCGTGTGCGCATTAATGTATCTCAATTATTTTGAATTGTTTCTTTGCCTTTATCTCAATTTTTTCTTGACTCAATTTTTATCTCGAATGTCGAGCTTCGTATATGTGGGTCTCATATATTCGAGTTTTGTATACTCAAGAAAATAGAGTATACAATAAACGTCTGCAATATATAAAGTATACAATATACGTCGGAATAAAAAATTTATCAATTGATCTGGTTTTCTTAAATTGGGTTAATTTGATGAAAAAATTGTCAATCATAATTTTTTCTTGAAACTCGCAAAGCTTTAACCCAGTGATGTCCATTTAAAAACAATTTAACTTAAGTCTTAATTTTTATCTCAATTTATTAAAATGTGAAATTATGAGGCCACTCAATTTAAATTGAAAAAAAAAATTAAATTGCTCGGGTGGTATTCTATCCGACGCCAAATTACACTGTTTAGTTATTTCAATTATTTTTCTTTTCACGGTTCTGCGGGAAAAGCAAACAATCGAAATTTTACGACAAAATTGATAAGATTTTGTTGCAAATAGATATGCCCAAAGAAATTGCTTTCAATTTTTTTTTCAAAATGCGAAAAGTAACCAAAAATGGCAGAAAAACTGCTAAAAACATACTTGAGAAAAATGTAAATTGCGAAAGAAAAATTTAAATAATTTCAGAAAAGTTTATTAAATTGATGCTAACCATGTTCATAATTGATGCTAACCATTTAAACTATTTTAATTTAATTTTCAATTAAATTTTCAACCACTGCTTTAACCTGGTCGATTTTTTCTTCGAAAATGAAAAAATATTCAATCGATTTCTTTCGGTTTCCTTGTTCCACTCTGCTTAACTTCTGTCGGCTATTTTTTAATTTTCAACTCAGTGTATGAGTTGGATATATAAGTCAAAAATGTTCACCTAAAAATATAGAGTTTATTCGAACTTCACAATCTTAATGATTGTATTGTGTTTGGAATGAAAGGAGACCTCCAATATGTTCGATAACACAACCCTCTGTAGCTGCTGAGTATGACTGAAATTTTATCCCTCTTGTTTCTAGAGTCCTCGACTAACCCAACTGTTCAGACTTTACTAACCGAACTGTTAAATGGCCGAACAATCCAGTCTTCTCTAAATCCAAACCAGCGGCTAGAACCCAGTAACCCGAATACTGTTACTACAAACCTTGCCCAGCATCAATCAACGTCTTCAGCCACTCTCACTTCATCGTACAATTTAAGACCCAATAGAAATACACAATGTGCTAATATGACCTCTAATAACCCCAAAACCCGACATGTATTAGACCCCATTGAGGAAAGCGCAGTGCAAGAAGAGCAGATGGTTGGAGTGGAAGGAGGAAGAGAAGGCGAAGATATGCATCATCAAGAGCCAGAGGAGTTCCAGTTTCCGAACAGTGGAGTTGGCTGGTCGGCACCTCCGTCGTCAAAGGAAAAACACCGCGGGGGCAACGAGAGATCATCAGCACAAAACAATGCTACTATTTACGGTAATTATCGGTCATCTATGTCTCTTCGGTATGCAAAACAAGAGTAGCCGGTTGCTGTGCAAGTAGCTTAAGATGTTATGAACACAGTTATTATAAAAACACTGTTATAACAGTTATTTTCACTTATAAATGGCTTGATGATTTTTTAAATTTGTTTTTCTTTTTAGGAAAAATCTTAAAGTTTGTCCGAAATAATTTAAATTTTTAAATTATTTAAGTAATAACATAACTTGGTAGGTGTAACAACGAAATGATTTTAATTGAAATATGGCTTGATGAAGTTTTTTAGGATAAGTCTTAAAAGGCGTCCACCCCTGTACTTAGTTATATATACACTTTTTGACTTCAATTCATCTGCTAAAAGTTCGATAAATTGCGCGACAAACTCACATATTATAGTAAATAATATGTTAAATTATTTTTATTAAAAGTTAAATTATGTTGATCAGTCGCTTGTATCTTTTCAAGTGAAAAATTTTTTATCGTTGAAATAAGAGTTAGTTTTCAGATCTTACCTAAATATGAATCTGAAAAGCAAAATTTTCAGGCTAGTTTTTCTCGACACCAAGAAAAGTTTTTTGAAGTTTCTCTTCAGTTTATTGATCGGAAAGGGATCATGGGAAAAGGGAAACTTACAGCTGAATTAAATAAAAAGGATTGGATTAATGATATACATTCATGTTCAGGGGATCCTCTCAAGTTTCACAAGCATGGGAGCAAGAAACGAGGTGTTCCAAATGGAGTTGCCCACAACGATGTTCCTTCAAAGCCAGTGAAGTGGAAGTTGCCTGAACCACAGCTGCATATGGTCCAACTTCCTCCCGCAAATTCCAATGCAGTTGCTGTCATGACAACATCAACCGAGCCACGGGTAACGACACGCACAGTTGTGAGTTAAAAGTTTTGAAAAAAGTAAATGAAATAATTCAGATTTTCTTTAAAAAACGTAATTAAGTAACAGTAATGAACGTAGTGAAGACTCTTATATAGGTCTTGCTGATTTTTTTTGGTTTTTTTTCAGGAAAAAGTCTTAAAATATTGATGCGCTTAGATATTAATGCACTTTTTGAGTTGAGTTGAAATTCATCTGCTGAAAGTTACGTAAATACCACTCTCCAAATACGAACGTGGAAAAGGCGCTTAAAACGTGAACCATTTCTAGTTTCGAAAGTGGAATTTACTTTTTAGATTTCTTGCGGGATAAAAACTTTACCTGTTCAGCCAGTTTTCTCAAACTGGGTTAATGTTATCAAAAAAGCGCCAATCATAAATTTTTCTGGGAATTCAAAGAGCTTTAAGGGAATCTAATTTTTTTCTTTGAAGAAAGTGTTTTTTTTGTTTACTTGCGTTCATTACTCTTTTCCAATCTTCGATTGGCTATGTTTTTATGATGAGAACTTGCGGTTTGCAATCAATGTTTTGACGGGGCGAAATATTTTCCATGGCTATGATATAGAAGGTGCTGGATCTATTTAGATGCAACATATCTCGAAGACTGGTGGACCAAACTTCACGTTTGCTCATGCTACCGACTCATATCAGAACAGAGACCCAATAGACAGAAAAGGTGACTGAGCTATTTGAAATTAGCTAAATTTTTTAAAACATCTAAGTTTTCAGCTAAGTTGATTAGTGGTTCTAAATAGCGTTTTATCGAAGTCTTTTTTCTTAATATATGGAGAGAGTAATTCCTTCCGTCTTACGGAAAATTTGGAAATAAGACCGTTCATTTTGGCCGCCCAACAACCTCTTGAGTGAATTGCCTGATATACCAAATTTTTTTAGCAAAGTGTAAGAAGTGATTTTCAATTACATTAGTCGTGATGATTTTTTTCCAGAGGTTTTAAAATTTTTTTAACGCTATAGCGAGCGTAGTTTATTACTACGACTATTCTTTTTTTTTTCAATCTAAGTCGCAAATATTGGTGCCACTTTTTGTGGCACCTTTGCAGCTTTTTGATAGCATGTGCTTGATATTTCATTAGTAATAAGTTATCACAGTTTATGCATTAATAATTCATCAAATGAACCGAAAAAAAGCTATTTATTTCAAACAACAAATTTTCCAACCCATTGAATCTCACAATTGTCTTGCTATGCATTAGTTATGCATAATTGGGCTTTATAATTTCCCTTTAATAACAAGCAAAGTTAGAGTGGATGCCTTTAGTTTGCTATATTCCAAATTATTACATGCAAAATTGTGTCTATTTGTATCTGGTGCTACTTTTGCTGCATCGGATTGGAAATTTATTAGCATATGTAGCTGCTTTATTTCTGGCAAGTGTTAGTGAATTATCAAGGACTAGAAGTGCAGATGCGATGACCAGGGACCCTAAATCTCCTGGTCGTAGGATCGATTCGGCCACAGCAAAAGTTTCAATTTTCAAGGCTTTTTTTTATCTTTTCTTTTTAGAGCTGTCTTTTTTGTCGTTTTCTCGCTTGTGTTTGTAAACCGCAGCGTCGCCTCTGTGTTGACTTTTGATCTTTTTAAGGTAAGTTCTTTTCCTTTATTAAAAGGAAGGCAAATTGCACCATTGAATAGCCAAAGTGGGATTCAAGAAAAACATTTATGACTTCTTATTTCAAAAAGTTTGAATTCACAGCGGAAAAAAATTAAACCTAGATATCGAATTTTCTCTAAATGTGAAATTCAAGAAAGTTCCAGCCAAAAACATTTCTGAATTTCAAAGCGCTTAAGCATGATAATTTTTTTCTTCAAAATTCGAAGTTTGAAAAAATTTTTTGTTTCTTATTTCGTTACATTTTTCCAACCATCTGATGCTACGCTATGTTTTACTGTTTAAGAAGAGTTGGATGCTTACATCAAGCGAATCCTTAAAGAAGCGGAGCTGAACTCGCCTGATTCGCCCATTTCAAATGCCGCCCGAGTGCATATCAAAGCCAGTGCCATCACATCCAACTGCAGTTCCAATGGAGCAAACGGAAATGTCAATCACGCAGCAGAAGATGAATTTCTATATAATCGGGAGGGCGGAGGAGATCCGTTCTCAGTCATTAATATCTACACGAAACAGATGGCGAAAGGTTTGTTGCGATTGCTATGTTTCGCTTAATGGCTGCCTTCTTTCAAAATCGTGTTAAGTGTATTTTATGCAATCATTTGGCGTTTTAAGTACGTTGAAGGGGTGTCGTTCAATCGATTCACTTGAAAAGTGAAGGTTTGGTCCGTTTGTTACGCTTCTGATGATTCACACATTAAATAGTGTTTCTAGATTAGTCAGAGCGATTACCGATGACTTCATTTTAATTAAATGTTGCCAAATCAGAATGGTCGGCTAGATCACGACAGGTAATTTTTTGTTGTTGCGAATCTTAGTTTGATGAATACCCATTGGCTGTTTGTTTTAGAGTACTCTGAGAAACTAAAGCAGTCTTCATCAAGTAAGTCACAAAATCAGAAGACAGCCTTACAATTAGAGTTGGAATCGACAGACGACGAAAACGAAGAGCAGAACGTCACAAAGACCAGTGCGTCTTCGGATCCGCATAATACTTCAAACGAAGTTTTCAGTGCAACGAGCCAACCGAATGGAGTAGTGTACGGGGAAGCAAGTAATGATCCATTTAAGGTGTTGTCACCTGCTGGTGCAAATGAGGCACAATCACCAAGGGACAGTCGCTTGTCATCTGAATCATCTGAGCTCACTGAAATTGCAGAAGCCGTAATGAGACAACAAACCCACCTCGAAGCAACGAGTTCAAGATTGAATAGTATGTCATCGAATCAAGCTGAAGGTTCCGCGCGTTTTGAACCAACTCGCAACCGTATGGTTCCTATTTTGGAAGGCTACGATTTTAACTCGCCTAGGTACTCGCCGAGAACACTGGAGCAGAAGCTAATGAGTGAATTGAATTACTTGGATTCTATGCATGATTCAATGAACCAACTTTCAGACGCAGAAAAAGTATACGCGGTAGCGAATGTACAGCAAGAAACAGTGGCTTTATCCCAAATTCTGAAATCGAGACAAATTTCTCATGAACATGATTTGAAGCAGCTCGCGTTGAAAGCTAAGCAAGAAACAGAAGATGCAAGTCGACAATTGCGAGAAGCTCAGGAGAAGGCAAATAGTGCGGCCATGGAAGCTGGTATGATGCAAAGACAAAGCGAAGCTGAGCTGCAGCTTTTAGCTAGAAGTGAGCAGTTACTAGAAAGTCAACAAAAAGCAGCACAAGCTACCTCGCATGTAGTGCAAGAACTCACAAATTTGTCATCAGTGGCTAGAATTGTGGAAGGTGCGGAATCCACTAGAACTCCAACAACGCCTGTTGCTTACGGAAGGGATAGAAATATTTTCGATGGTCAAAGTGCACAAGAAATTGCTACAACAGCAGCAGTTGCTGCGGCTAGAGCAGTCATCGCGGAAAATATCCAGAAGTCTATGGAAAAAGTTGCATCGAGGAGAAGACATGATTCTGGTAGTTCCTTTCAAAACAGGCTTAGATCGCGAACCCCAAGTGAGACGCTATCTTCAACACCTACAGAATCTTTGTCACCTCGATCGGCCTCCGTGCGAAAGTCTCCGGTACCTACCAGAGTTCAAGAATTGAGTGAAGACAATAAGGTTACATCACAAAATGGGTCACAGAGGTCCAGTGTCGCGTCTCCAAAAGCGAAGTCTCCTGTTCCGCGACAGGAGGCGCTGGAAAGAAGCAGGAGTCAAAGGTCATCTGCTTCAGAAGACTTGGCCATTTCAATTGGTTCATCTAAAACCTCACCTGATCATCAGAAATACAACAAGGAAATTCGCGAAAATCTGGAAGACAGTAGAAACATTTTTACGGAAAACTACTCGGAAATTATGACTGAAAACAGCCAAATTGAAGTTGCAGACAAAAATGGGAAAGTGGACACAGAATTGAGTGAAAATATTGAGGAAAATATCGATGAGAGCTTGCACTCGATTGGAAGTTTACACGCAGTTGAGCCTGAAGCTGACGTGAGACTGGAAGCTTTGAAAGTTGTGAAAAGTCAACAATATTCCACTTCTCAAAGTATAAAATCGGTCGCTTCTAGTAAGAAAGATGCGTCATCTGCACCTATGAATGTCAACTCTCTTCTTTCGAAGAGTGACTCTATTTTGAGCAAGTATTCGCCGACAACGTCACCAAAGTCGAGTCCGAGACCTCTAGATCGAACTAAGCAATCTGCAAGTGGTAAGACCAGATCTTCTGGTGGAGGAGATGCCTCAATTATGACGGCCGCGGACTATTCAGACGATTTCGACGCCACAACACACGATATTAGGTCAAAGGCGGCATCAGTGTCTGCGGGTGACAAAGAGCAAGTGTCATCAAGTAAGTATTGAATAACTATTTTGAGCGGAGTGATTTTTAATTGATCTGCTGTACATAGTTGCTAAAAAGTGTACCTGTTTGTAATTAATTTGCTCAGTTAGCTATAATTACAGAAGCTCAAAACCAGAGAGAGGGAAAATCGTTCGAGCCTAAAAAACTTTTCTCACCCCGGTCTGCAGTGGATGAAAAAGGCAGATTAGAAGCGACGATGGAAGAAGATTGTGACGGAGTTAGCGATGACTTTTCTGAAGAAATGTTAAAACAGTACCTTCGGGAGGAGGAGCGAAGGGCGCAACACCAGGCAGCTCTGATCAAGTTGCGAGAGAAGGCCCTGAAGGACAAGGCTAAGGCGGAGATGGAGTACCTGGACCAGCTAAAGGCCCAGAACAAGGGAGACGCGGACAAGATGTCCACCATTAAGAAGCGACAGAGAGCTGTGGTCATCAAGCTACAAGAGGAACAGGTGACAATTTTGTTTTTTAAAAGGCTCCATGAGCGTAGTGAAAAATCTTATATAAGTCGTGATGATTTTTTTTTGTTTTTTTTTCACGAAAAGTTTGAAATTTTTTTACGCTCAATTTTGATTTTTCGCTGTTTAGCTTGTGATTTCTTTTTAAGGTCAGTGCATTTCCATTGTTAAAAGAAAGGCAAACTCAACTATCGAACAGCAAAAATGTAAAGGTCTCGAAAAACGTGATCGACTTCCAGTTTTGAAAGTGGAATTTAAATTCCCTGCAAATAAAAATTTTACGTATTGATCCAGTTTTCTCAAATTGGGTTACTTTTATTGAAAAAGTGCCAATCATAAATTGTTTTACAAATTCAAAGCTTTAATGGCATCTATGTTTTTCTTCGAAAGTTGAGATTAATAAAGAAATCAGCATTATTATTGCCCTGCCGTAAAATATTGAATCCTTTGCTAGTTTGAATAGTTCAAATAGCCAGAGTTTCTTATGAAGGTCACGAAAACGTGAACGAATTCTAGTTCCGACAGTGAATTTTAGAAATTTCAGATTTCCTAGAATTATTGGCTATTGTTGGAGCTATCAGAATTGTTAGTTATAGCGAATTATCACGTGTTACGAGTAAACGCTTGCGATGAATTGTCGTTATGCTATAACAACTGTTGCATAAATTTGCATACCCATAAAATCTTATTTGTTGTTAGGCCGAATTGAGACGTCTGGAGCTGGCGAACAAGGCGGGATCCCAGCAGAGACAACTGCTGATGGTGCAGCAGAGGGAGATATCGAAGATGCGTGAGAGCACAGTTCACCTCAAATCGAAAATCAGACAGTTAGAATCGAACGGATCCACTGGGGTCAACAAGACAGAAATTGGGGTGAGTATTGTCATTGAATAGCTCTTTTTAAGAGTTAGTCGCATGTGTTGATGAGCGAAACGACTTTTTGAATTAGGCCGCAAATTACCCGCTAAAGCGATGTTGCGAGATTTGAAAAAAAATGTTCAGCATGCCAAGAAAAAATGCGTATTCGTTAGGTATACGAAAAATTGTATTCTTTCTGTAATTGGAAAGGAATAATTGAATGAATAATTGAATTGCTTTTCAGGATCTGGAGCAGCTGTTGAAGCGCAGCAGCACCCCCACCTACCTGAAAAGCAGGAAGATCAAAGACCTGAAGGCGGAATTGTTCGAAGAGGAGATACGTCTAGACAGTCTGCGCAAGAACACAGCCGCAGCAGCCAAGAAGGAGGGTGGCAAGGTGGCTCATGCTGGAGATAGAGAGGTGAACAGGTCAGACAGCAGCTCCATGGTAGAGGACATGAGCTACGGATCCAATCGGTAATTCATCTCACGGCATTGTTCCCTCCACTCCACTGAAACTGGGGAGAAACTTTGTATACGGGTGTTTTAGTTTTTTTTTGTTCTCCACTGACCGAAAACTCGGAAACTAGAATTGGACTTGGGATGACGTCTGGAATTCATTTGCCAAATATGGCGCAAGTAAACGAGAATTACTGTTTGAAATTTGGACTTTACATAGTTTTCCCATTTTTCTGTTTTTGGTGTATTAAAAATAGGTCAATCATAAAAATTCTTGGAATTCGAAAACTGAAAACTCAAGTTTCAATGCAGAAGTCTAAATTTTTTCTTTTTCGACCTAAGGCATTCAGCGAATAGGAACTTGTTACGGTGTTTACACAAGCGAAGTGTATTATTACGAAGAATTTTTTTTCTAACCTAAGTCGCAAATAAAAGTGCTCATATGGTGGCACTTTTGGTATAGTTCGGTTTAATCATGTTTGAGCATAAGCAACTTAGAAGCATATTTTGCTGCTTTATTTGTGGCTAGTAAAAGGTCCTGTTTGAAAGAAATAGGTGTAATGAAAATGTATGGATTAGAAAATGTCCAATTCTTGAATTTTTGCCCGTTTTTTGGAAACTTATTTTTTTTCAAAAACTAGCCTGCTGATTAGTTCATTCAAATCAACATGGTGCTTAGTTTTTGCTGGCGCAATATATCTATTTATTTGAAGCAAAGCTGATATGAACTTCGGAAAAATCCATTTTTTGAAATTTTCAACTGATTTTTAGAATTTTCATCACTGCCTTCGAAAACTACTTGCTAAATCTGATATCAAGAATTCAATCTAATCATCAAGTTGTGGACCCTTTCCCCGCATAAAATGTTCTTCCCATACTTTAGTAAGGAGAAGTTATGGATTTAGGAAAAGTCAAGTTTTTGGATTTTTGTCGTTTTTTGATTTTTTTTCTTCGAAAACTTCCCAGCCAAATCTGAGATAGACGTCAATTGAAAGAGCGAGGAGTGTTTTTCTCCTTTAGATAAGCGGCTAATCCGTACTTATCCAGAAAATTTACTAGGGTTTTGCGTAAAATCAATGTTTTGAAAATTACATATATTCGTATTAATACAGTATATAACTACACTAGCCATCAGCTTAGTGTGTTATTAAGAGCCTTACTTGTTTTCTAACCTAAGTCGCAAATAAAAGTGTTCATTAAATGTGATCACTTATTTGTAATTTTCACTGTAGCATTGGAAATTGCATAGCATCTGTTCTCTGCTTTTTTTGTGGCTTGTGTATCTTTTTTTTCGGCTCAACTGGTGTGTTTCCGTTTTGTAAGTTTTGTTCCGTTGACAATTCAATGTTCAAATGATTTCTGTTTTTTTTTTACGTTTGTGTTGTATCGCAGGTGATGCGAAGCTCCTCTTCGCAACTGTGTTAAAGACTATTGCAAGGTTGATGTTCAAACAATTCTAACATGTTAATTTTGTCTTATTTGTAGTAATGTCTTAATTTATGTTGTTCTTCTTTTCCAGAAGTGCGTCTGATGCCGAAGAGAATCACTCGTTCAAACTACCGGCGTCCATTCCCAGTTCGCCCAGATCTCTGGTCGGTGCATCGATCGGGTCTCTGTCCAAGGGAGGAGCGAAGCTGAGAGTGACACCCAGGACAAAGAGTCCCGTTTTGCCTGGGCACGGTGAGTTGTTATCAAAATTTCAACAACTCGAAATTCATGTATACGAACCGTAAAAACAATTACGAAGCCTTCTTGGGTCTTAGCCGTTACTCATTAATAAGCAATTTAAACAATAAACGGGCGCTTGTGTGGTGTTGTTGCCTGGCAAACAAAATTTGATGCTGCTAAATTGGAATACATCATATATAGACAGAAAAGGCTTTTTTTTTAAAAAATCGGGTTTGGTAGACCAAAAGTGATACGTATTGTACTAGATTGGAATTTTTACTGGGAATTTCGACATAAGGTTAAGAGTTTGATGTTTTTTTATGTAATTGAAATTAACCGAGGGGATATGTTTTAATGTGAAAGTTGTATTGTTTACCAGCTGCCGAGGTAAAAGGGAAGATGCGTCGTAGGCGGGCGTCTTCAACAGACACTTACGATGAGTCTGTTAATTATTCCTCAGGTAAAACCTTCTATAGCTCTCTTTGCTCTATCTTGATTGTATCGGCGATAGAATGCAGTATCAGAAGCCCTGTTTATTTTAAGCTCGCCTCGGCACTTTTTTGGGGTGGGAAAAAGATTGATTTATCAACTGGTATACAAGCTGTAGTTATAACTAGTTAAGATGGTTTTCTATTTGGACCTATTAATCTAGAAATATCAGAGCTTCAAATCAGACCGTAATTTTATTGTAATCTATCGCTGTTGTTTTTGTTATCAGTCGAGTTTCGCTATATGATGCGTTGTCTCGATTTACGATGTTCTCAAATGTGTCTTCGTACATATTATAGTTTTCAAAACAATTTTCATTGTCCTGTGCATTTTTTTACACTAGCAATCAACGTAGTGTATTAATACGAACCTTTTTTTTCTAGCCTAACTCCAAAAAAAAGTGTTCATTAAAAGTTGGAAATTTTACTGTAGCATTGAAAATTGCATAGCATTTGTTCTCTGCTTTATTTGTGGCTTATGTTTGGAGTCTATTAAGCTTGCGTGGCTGAGTGTTTAGTGTATGAGGCTCTTAATCTCTAGGTAACAGGTTCGAATTTCAGACGAGGCAGAATTTTTCGCGAAATCGAGGCTTATTTCCATTTTTATTGCGCTTTATGAGCTGCTTTTTGGTGTGTTCTCGCTAATGTTTGCGAAGCTTCGCCTCTGTGTAATTAGATACCCCTCCGATATCGGTTGTCTGATCTTAACCGTAATTTTTTTCTCTGTTTACTCAACGGAGCGTTGTATGAGACTACAAAGTATCTTTTTTCCAACCTAAGTTGCAATTATTAGTACTATTTCGTTGGGTGACAATTTAGCAGCCGGCTGCTGTGGTAGTTTAATTGCATGTGCATAGTTTTTTAAAAGTGTTTTTTGATCATGTAGCGCCACATTCAATCAGTAATAAGTTATCACAGTCGATGCTAATTCATTTTGTCAAATGAACAGAAGAAAGCTATTTGTTAAGTTTATTAAATTGAAAGCTATTTGTTAGGTTTATTAAATTGTTTATTAATTTTTGTCATAAATTTTTCTTGAAATTCAAAGAGATTTAAGTCCACCTATTTTTTTTACATATTATTCTTTACGAAATTGGTTTGTTATATCGATTTAGTGAATGCATATTACGTCGTTTGAAAAGCAAAACTATCTTATACTCGTTTGTGATCTTCAGGGAGTACATGCATTTAGAGTTTCAAAAATCAACATCTTCAAAATTTAGTTGCAACACTTCATCCCTGCTAATCGGGTTTTGTACCCTATTTTTTCTTCTTAGTTAACGTTCGATAAATTCTGTCTTAATGTTTATTTAAAGCGGGCAATCGTTTCCTGCGATAGATTTTGATCGGAATCAGATTTTCGAGGCGTTTGGTTGGTCTGCATCATTTTTTGTTGTTTTTTCGACTAGTGATTTTCGTCTAGCTCTGTATTCACTGTTTATAGTATCGCAAGTGGCGTGTAGATTTGCTTCACTGTGTATTTAAGTTAGGATCATCACTTTTGTATCAACTATTTCCAAAAAAAATTCGAAAATTTTGTGTTTACGTCGGCCAAATTGATTTTCCAAGCTCTCCCAAAGCATTAAAAAGACCTTGTTTTGGTCAAATTTTCTGCGCCGCAGCCAAAGTTATGAAAAATCAGGCCAAAAAAGGTATTTTTAGGCAGTTTTTAGAAACTATTGACAAAAAATCGCGCTTTTTAACTGTTTTTGAAATTAAATTTCATCTCGGATATTAGAAACTATTACCTCTAAAAGTTATTGAAAACGCATGTTTTTAATTCATTCCGTTGATAAACAGTATGATAGTGATAAATTTGTTTAAGAGTCGATGAACGTAGTTCAGATTCTTGCATAGTTCGTGATGTATAAAATCGCGCTATATAAATACGAACATGGAAATGTCCTAAAAAAACTTGATCGACTTCTAGTTTCGAAAGTGGAACTTAGTTTTAAATTATTCAGCGGGATAAAAACTTAACCTAACGCTTCAGTTTTCTCAAATTGAATTAATTCTATCAAAAAATGCCAGTCATTAAATGTTCATGAGGTTGAAATAAAATAGCTTTAAGGTCATAATTTCGAAAGTTGAAGTTGAAAAATGTGATCATTTTTAAATTCCGTTGTATTTATGAGATTTGTTGGTCAGATTTCGATCAGATAAGCCGAATTTGTAATGGCGTGTGTGTGTTGGATAGACGTGGGGCCAGCGTCTTCTTACTCTGACGCGAGTGACGTTGAAGGCAGAATCCAGGCACTGAAGGAGGATCTGAGGAGGAGGAAGGAAGAGGTAGAGAGACTCCGACAACTGAAGAAGGGCAAGAGATTCAGGGACAGGGAACATGCTCGCGTACAGGAAGACAACATACGCAAACAGCTCGAGGTACTAGAATTTAAACATAATCTAAAACTCATAGATTGAACCAGTTTAACACTAGGGTGTTTCAAGTCATCAGCGAAAAACCCGTAATTTTAGACGTGAAGTTTTTGGTATTTTATAGGTCGCGACGATTTTTTTTCGTTTTTTAGAAGTTCAAAATTTTTTCAGGCTCAAATTGACTTTCGCTGTTCATTAGCGAGCGTAGTGCAATAGTGCGACTTTTTTTGAAACGTAAGTCGCAAATATTGTTGCCACTTTTGGGGCACCTTTACGGCTTTTTGATAGCATATGCTTTAGCAATCGATTAGTAGGATGTTAGCACAGTCAAATGAACCGAAAAGAGCCAATTGTTTCAAACAACAGTGCAATAACAAAACTCGATTTCAGAAATTTTCTAACTCAATATATTTCGAAATGAATATTTTTTTAAATGAATATTTATACATATTTTGGCTTTATGCTTTCCGATTTATTACATGCAAAGTTAGTGAGGCTGCCTTCTTTTAGTGATAGTCCAAATTGTAGCTATTTGTATTTGCTGCATCTGATTCGCAATTTATTAGTATATGTAGCAGCTGCTTAATTTCTGGCGAGTGTATAGTAAATTGTCAATGGCACGGGGCGCAGATGTGAGGACACGGAACTCTTGATCTCCTAGCCTTAGGATCGAATCCGCCACAGTTCAAGTTTTATTTTGCATGGATGGCTTGTTGTTACCGTTTCTTTTCCTATTAAGAGTCGATGAACGTAGTTCACACTCTTATATAGGTCGTGGTGTTTTTTTTTTGTTAAACGGAAGGCAAACTCCACTATCGGACAGCAAAAGTGTAAAGGTCACGAAAAACAAGATCGATTTTATTTTCAAAAATGGAATTTAATACCAGCAAAATAAAACTATACCTATTGATTCAGTTTTCTCAAATTGGGTTATTTTATTGAAAAAGTGCCAAAATAAATTGTTCTAGAAAACCAAAGAGCTTTAAGGGCATCGATTATTTTCTTTGATATTCGAAAAGTGCATTTTTTTTCAAAAAGAAGTTAGTTTTTTTTTTCTGTTTAATTGTGTTCATTGATTCTTTTCCAACTGTCTGTTGGCTAATTATGACTTAATGGAGCTGCTTTTTTGTTCGTTTTCTCGCTAATGTTTGCGAAGGGCAGCTTCGCCTTTGTGCTGACAATTGATTTATTATAAAGTTCAGTTAACTTTTTTTGGTAAAAGGAAGACAATCTCGTCTTTCGAACAGCAAAGATCACGAAAAACGGAAATCTAATTTCGAAAATGGAATTTATTTATTAGAATTCCCAGCAAACCAAAAATTTACCCATTGATCCTGTTTTCTGAAATTGGGCTAATTTTATCAATAAAGTGTCAATCATATTTTGTTCTTGAAGTTCAAAGAGCTCTAAGGGCATATATTTTTTCTTTAACATTAGCAAGTAGATGTTTTTTTTTCAGCTAACATTTCAACTTTTTTAACTGTTTTCTTGCGTTCATTACTCTTTCCAACTGTCTGTTGGCTATGTTAATGTCAATACCGATAAGATGCTAATGGTTTCGCGTTGCTATTTTTCCGCTAAAACTACAAGTTTCTAGGTTCCAAAGATCTGATCACTGACATTTTGACTCTTGGTTCAATGGATAGGGTCTGATTACAATCCTCCATAGCGTTTCTAGGAAAACCGTTGAATTTACCATCCTTGGGTTGGATACTAAATACTAATGCCATAACGGAGTTTTAAAACGGTATTCGATTTTTCAGTTCAATGTTGTTAAACTCTACTGCGCGTGTTTCAGTACTATGATGACTACATCGCAAAAACTACGGCAGAACTGGAAAAAGCGGATGCCGAAAATGTTCTGCTGACTGCTAATGACGAATTGGTCCAGGTAGCCAAGCCGGTCATTAGAACCCCCTCAGCCAGATCTTCACGCTCCACTACTCCGGTTCCGTCAGCCAGGAATAGCGAATCGAGCAGTGAAGTTACGCCAGAAGCCATCTCCGCATTGGAACCTGCACTACAGGAAGATTCCAAAAAGGAAGATGCAGAAAAGACACCTCGCAAAGAAAGATCGGTCGAAGAATTGCCGCAGGTTTTGGACGAAGCTATCAAAAACAACGAAGTCTCGGGAAAGAATGTAGTGCACGCCTCAGTTTCTCCAAGTGATGAAGTGAACGAGGATTTGTCAGTCGCAGAAGAAATTGACGATGAGTCAAATAGCAGCACATTGGAAGATGAGATCTCGGTTCCAATTGCGAAAGGACAAGATGATTCAGATGTGGTGATGACGCCACGTGCGTCGACTCCAGTGTCATCTAAAGGTAGTGGTGGGAAATCAATTGATCGACAGTCTCCTTTGGAGAAGCCCACATCTTTCGCAGAATCTGACAATGAGCCGATATTAAGTCCAGCAGCTGATGCTAGCGTCTCTCAATCAGAGAGCGCTTCAGCCAAGCTGTCGCACGACGGTTCCTCGAAGGATAAAAGTAATTCGGAATTCGATGAATCAAATAAGAAGGAACCCAGAAAGTCAGTTGAGGATGCACTGCAAGACCTCAAAATAGGATCTAAAGTGCTAGTCGATGGAAAAAATACAGGAGTTTTGAAGTTCAAGTCGCGAGTAAGTGACGAGCTTTTGGTAGGCGTAGAGCTTGACGATTCAATTCAATCTCACGACTCTCAATGCGATGAACATTTTACGTGCAAAAATGGGCCGGGTTTGCTGACATCAGAAACTGGTCGAATAAAGGCTCTGGTTGAAAAAGACGACACCGCTGTTGAAGCTGAACTTGCTGCTCTTACTGAAGACTACTCGCTAGACTTCGACGACAAAACAACGGCTACTGCAACAGGAACGCCACGTATACTTGCTTCAGCTGCTTCTATTAAAGAGGAGATTGAAATTGCCTCCGAGGAATCAAGCAGCTCCAAAGAGACCGAATCTAAAAAGAACGAGTCATCGAGTGAGAAAGAAGCTGTCCTCAATGAAAATATTGTCAAATTAATTAGCGAAAAAGAAAAGTCTTCAAGTGAGGATATGGTGAATATATCTTTGCCTGGAAACGAAGAAGTTGTCGATTTAGTTGTAGCCAGTAAAGACGAGACTGCGGACGATACTCTGCCTGAAAAAGGCGAAGATGAGATTGTTGATGAAAGTTTACCTGATAAAGTTGAAAATGAGGATAATCAAGGTGCTGAGGGAAAAGAAGATGGAATCAATGAAAGGTTTTCAGGCGGAGCGGATGACGAAATTGGAGAACTGAACAAAAGTGATGGCAGTGATTTCGAGTCGATTTCTTTCTCGATGCACGAAGCCGAAAGCATCGGACTAGCCACGAATTATGAGACAATCGAAACTGGATGCGGCTTCATTTCTGAACCGCAAATCAGTGTCGTCGTTAAAAAACCGGTTGCAGATGAAGATATTGCTAAAGCAGACCAGAAAGTTGACGACGTTGAGGATCCACCGAGCATCAAAGATGTTCCGATTCCACAGCAAGAAATGGGAGATACTGATGCTAGTGAATGTTGCGATCAGATTTTTGATTCAGTTTTTCAACTGGTGCTGGACGAGGTGTTCGACGATCGGAAACTCCATCTTGGATTTGTGGATTCATACACCCAAGTACTGTCCAAACAATGTGTTGACCAGGCACTTGAGGATACTTTTGTGTGCCGCGGTTCAAAATTGACAAAGCTGCAGCGAAGTTTGTCTTTTACCAAAGAAGTATCAGAACTACCTCGCGTTGACTCAATTGAGGAAGAGTCTTCGGAAACTATCGACGAGCTCCTAGTTTCACAGGAGGAAAAGTTGGAGGTAAAACACGACAACTTTGAACTCAATTTAGACGAAAGAAGCGAGGACAATCTTTTTAGTGCCAAGGCTAAATCGGATGTCCCAGAATCGCGGGAGGATAAAGTTGAACCAGCCCATTCACCGCTTAGCGAAGAGCTCCCCGATAAAAGTGGCTCTGATAACTATTCTCCATCCCCTTCTAGTCCAACTGCGGGAGTCGGCGGAGAATTTATTGACGACGATTTTGGCTATACCGAGAGTAAAGAATACGACGACGCGAAAGAAAACATTGCGCCAATCGTTCCACCGATTGATATCAGCGAGATAACATCAGAGCCAGACCGAACGCAAAAACCTACTCTGCCCGAATCGGGCGTGTCGGTAGAAGAAGCTGCCCTTAGCGCTCGACTGTCAGTGCATGCTGAAAGAATTGCGTCAATAGTTGAACCGCAAGTTTTCATTCCGTCCAAATCAGACGAAATTAAATCTCTGTCTCATTCATTTGCGGCTTACTTTTTCAACCAAAAGTCCAACCCGGAAGGTTTCAGCGACTGTAAAATTCCGATCGAACTATTGGGTTCCGATGCTGTTGGTAGCGATGATGTATCGAAAAGCAGGAAATCTTTCAAAGTGATGATGTTCGAATTAGTTCGTGAAATAGTAGCTGATATCTATCAGACAGTGCCCAAAGTCACCCATCCATGGATGAAGCCGAAATTGGCTAAACGTGTGCACTATCATGGAATGAAGCCGAAATCGATAGAGATGTTGAATGAAATAGTGGAGAAAAAAGTGACGAATCTCATAAACTTGAGCTCAAGAAGTCAGCATAGAACGCAAACTCTCAAGTTTGGACACAAAAGGCGCGATTTAGTCGACAAAATCCTCATTCAAGAACTGAGGGAAGAAGAAAGTCAGTGGGTTGATTACAATGACGACGAACTGAATGTTAAAGTACAGCTGACAGATGCTATTTTTGATTCGCTAATTGACGATACAGTTAGTGTTTTGAACAAGATCCAGCAGAAGCATGATGCGCATTCAACTTAAAAAGAGATTCAGAAAAATTAAACTAGACCAATAACTTACCTAGTTCTGATAATGATGGTATTGTTACAAATTTAGTTGTTTGATGTTTTGTAAAATGGAGTTAAATTTAGATAACGTTTTACTGTTTAGTATAATTGCCGCAAAGCGTCTCATCCACATCTCATAGATAATCTTGCCTCAATTTTTTTAATTTGCTCTAATTGTTGTTTCCTGTTAACCATATGTTAACCATTTTGCTCAATTCCAAAATATCAACAGTTTCCATTGCATCAGCCTGCAGTTATTACATGCTATTATCCATTCCCATTGCAAATCAGTGATTTCGAACGTACACGAGTTCAGTTATGTAGTGACAACGAGTTATTATGATTAACGATACAAACTTGGGCAACCATGCAAATCAGCTACCTATCAAAAACTAGTTCATTTCATTAGGGTTTAATCTGGCAGTGATTTGATGTTTTGTTGCGTTTTCAGCTCCACTGGTTTCGATTGGATCCACCGTTTGTAAATAACTAGAAATTGTAAATACAGAATTCGTTTTAAATTCTTTTTCCGAAACCAATTTACTTTTATGCTACTTCTTTTGGGGGTGATGAATACATGTTTTTGATCGTCAACAGAATAAATAATATGACAACTGTGCGTTTGACCACTCGTCATATTGAAATAAGAAAGAATAAGAACTGAATGCTAATGAGCTAAGTGTTCAGAGAAATCATTTAAAACTTCAGCGAAATGATTTATCACTTGTTTAGGTCTAGCAGTTTTATCTTGGTTCATACCAACTATACATACCAGTAGCCCTGCGGTACACTCAGGAGAAGTTTCGAAAGGCGTCGAATTAGAGGTTTCGAAAGGCGTCGAATGATTTTTTAAATCAATTAATAAAGCGGGCAAAGAACAGCTTCGCTTCTGAGGCTTCTAAATTCAACCCATAATTACATGGGATTTTTGTTCCGACTTTCGTAACAAAAGTTACGGAATATTTATGTTTTTTTATTCAGACAATTTTCGACTTTTTAACTAGCCATTTTTGATGATTTTTTTATATCATTCAAAAAATATTGTTGTCCTGGGCTTAAATTTGAAAAGATATTTTACCTGTGATCTTTTTTCGTAAAGTTATGGGGGTTTAAAGATAGCCATTTTGGTCAATTTGGGAAAATTAACGCGCGATATATTTCGCGCTATTAACGCGTAAGCGGAGGTTTAACCCGTCTTAGAAATCGTTCCAAATTGGCTGAAGTAAGCTTAATTGATTTATTACTAGGAGCGAAATTTATCACTTTGTAGTTTATATGGGCTAGTTTATTTGAGATTTTTATGTTCACAAAAATCTCAAATATAAAAAAAATTCGTTTTCTTTTTATTACATCAAATTATTTTTTCATGTTATCACTGCTTCATAGACCTTAAAATGCAATCGGAACTTTCAGGGCTTCGCATTGAAACGAGCAATCTTGTTTTCTTTTAGCAGGAAAACTTGCTAACGCTTAAAATAACATGATAGCGGCAGGAGATTATAATTTTTAGTGATAATGATAGGTCGTGATAAAGAGTCTATGAACAGACTGTAATATAGGTCAAGATGGTTTTTTTTCAGGAAAAGAATCAAAATCAGTCATGGTAATGTTGATCTTTTAGGTTTGAGTTTTGATTTCTTAAGTTTAAATCTAAAGTGAAGGCAATTCACACACTCCATATATGAAAGCCAAAATGGCTAGAAAAATTGATTGAAGGCAATTCACTCACTCCATTTATGAAAGCCGAAATGGCTAGAAAAATTGTGACTGACAAGTAGTTAATTCAATTTTTGGATTTTTGCACTAAATTTGAAATTTTCCATATTCGTAGTTGTCCTGTGTGTTTTTATGGCTGATTACTTAGTGCTACTATGTAATGTATGAAGAAAAAGTATGCTCACAAAAAATTTCTTCAAAATTGCATTGAATTGTGACAAGGTGAAACAGTTTTTCAAAACCGAAATTCAAATGTGAGGGAAAAAAATTTTGTTTGAGTTTCGAGTTTTCAAAAAAAATCTTGTGTTCTGCGCTACTTGAGTTCTTTGACGCTTTTCCAATTGTTTGTTGGCTATGTTTAGATGAATAATGGCCTCCAATAAAAATAGGCGAATGACATTATTTCTTAATTCAAGAAATGATAAAAATTTACCCGTTCATTTAACAGGCATATTGAAGCGGGATACTATATCTTATCCCCCCCAAACAAATTTTGGCACCTTTTATCAATTAAATAACTTCTCATTTAAATCTGAGAAATTGACTTTGCTAAATTATAAGAAGTTAAATAATTCCTAGACCCTTTCTTACTTGGTGCTGTGGGATCCTAAACTTGGGAATCGAGTCCCGATTGTTCCTTGTTTTTTGTTGCAATCAAACTACAATTTGAACGCATTTTCTTATGCCTTTTTATTTTTTACCGCTCAAATGGATTTGGTTGATGACACATCGGCTTACTCGCATTATTTGCGTCGCTTCGAGGGAAAATTGGTTTTTTGCTTTTGTGTAAATCAAGATGGTTATTGATTGAAAATTTCAAAATTTTAAGTCTTGCTGACTTAGTTTGGGCTCAAAGCTTCAATTGTTTCTGGCTGAACATAGCAAATTTTGATTTGGAAAAATTTGTTCGTTTTTTAATTGCTTTATTCTTTCAAAAGTTAAATTTGGCTAGAAAAGTTGTGACTTCTTTTATATGAAAATCATCGCCGCGCATTGCTTTTTTTGAGGAAGATGTTTTTGTGCCTATGTCAGTGAGCGTGTTTTTGAACGTTAATTTAGTTCTTTGGAATTACAATATATTTTTATCTCAAGTCAGTCGCGTACGATATCACAAGTTTTAAATATAAATTGACTTTTTTGCGTGGAACGGAATCTATCCAAGTAAAGCTTGTTTAATTATTTTGTCAGTGAACAGTTAAAGCTGTCAATTGGCCTAATTGATTGGTTTTCTCAAAATACATTTCATTGAGACCACCGTAGAAAATTTTTCAACACTTTTTTGTCTTGAACTTTCTCAATTCCTGTTTGCTAGCTTGCCATACTGTGTGTGCAATTGTCAATGATAAAATTTTTCGAATTTAAAGTAGTGATAATCTATAACTTCGAAAATCGAAAATTAAAACTTTTTCATTAAAAATCTTCACAGTTTTGTTTGTTCTTCACCAATGGCTAATTTTTGGTTGTCTTAAATTTTTATACAAGTTTTTTTTGGAAATTTTGAAAAAAGTGATTACGTTTCTGTTCTAGCGTTTTGAGTTTCATTTTTTTGAGCTTACATTCTAGTTTGTTTGTCAATGGTCTTTGTTGCCCCACTTCATAGAGCATCAAATTTGTTGTGTATCGAGTGGTTTCACAAGGTAATGCCATACCAATCAAATCAAAGTCAATTTAAATTTAAAACTTGTGATATCGTACGCGACTGACTTGAGATAATTTAACTTCTTATAATTTAGCAAAGTCAATTTCTCAGATTTAAATGAGAAGTTATTTAATTGATAAAAGATGCCAAAATTTGTTTGGGGGGATAAGATATAGTATCCCGCTTCAATGCAAAACCAAAAATTTGTAATAATTTTTCAAAATGACGACTTCCTTTTTCCCTTCTACATAATCAAGTGATTTGTGAATTTCAAAAATCTAAAGAGTTTTTAAATCTTTAAATACCAAAAATTGAATTTTTATAGTTTCTTGAGGGTATTATTTTGTTGAACTACCGTTTTATATGTTTTAATTTTGTAATTGTTAGAAGAAAATTTAATTGTTTCCTAAAAACTTCTATCGTTGGCAAATTGTTTTAATTTTCAATTTGATAGCCATTAAAAGCATAGTCCGTTATTTTTGATTGCTGTCAGTAAACAATCTTTCAATCATTTGAACTTCTTGAGACTTATTATTACGTGCAGTGATACATAGATGTTTTTCAAAAATCAAAGTTTGGAAAAAAAAACTACTGATATCAGATCAAGTGCCTGAGTTATTTAAGACTTTCATTTTCGCAACCTATGTAACGCATTGTTGTGTCAAAATTTCTTTTCAACTTTTTCTGAATTGTATATGAAAAATACAGCGCCCAAGTACAAACAATGCTGATAATATTATTTCATTATTGAAATTTTAAACATCACTCGAAAAACAGTACGCGTTTCGCTCAAAACCAAGAAAATATATATTTCATTTTTGATTTTTTTTCGCAAAAATAAAAGAATTGAAAGTAATGTTACTATAAACTGGTGCTACTATGAATTGATCAGGCTCTCAAATCAGTTCAAAATCAGCTGAAATTTGCTTTTCAGCTTTGTTTTCTGTTACAGTTTTATGTTGACAAAATGTGTGAAGGGATTCAAAACAAAACCTGAAAAATTTTCACAATAATTGACTTTAACCAAATTTTTTCGTTAGGTTTCAAATCTTTTTACTTTTGCAAAGTGTAACTTCATCTCGTAAAAATTTGAACTGCAAGTGTTGCTGAAGACGGAAGTGATATTATTTTAATTAACTTTTATCTGTTATTTTATCTGAATACACTTTACGACACCATGTTTTTATTCATTTTGGTTTATTATTGGTTGATTCTGTTTTTTGATTATAGTAAGCACTCAAAACCAATTTTAAGATGCTGAAGGTTCTGAAAAATTGAAGCATAGTGTATTTTACCTCTTATTATTTAAATACTGCTTTCTTTAGTCGCGGTTAAATCACCTAGTGACATTTAAGCTGTCAACAGATTCTTCATAGCAACGCATCAAGCTGAAGAGAAAGAGCTAGATTGTAACAAAGTGGTGTGATCTAATAACGAAAGCGAGTGTGAATATACTTTTTCTTATTAGATCAGGCCATTTTGTTATTACCTTCCTCTTTTTTTCGGCTAAATGTGTTGCTATGTAGAAACTGTGGACAGATAAAATTTTATTAGGCAATTTCATAGCAGAAATGTTTTATATTTACAAAATTTTTCGTTCATAGTCTTTTTTTTGTCTTCGTGACCATGCGGATTACTTAATAGTCTAAGTAGTTGCTTATAAGGCAGCAAATTTTGGTTTAATCCCCACTGTCGCATGGTGTATTGTAGCTTTTTTTCCTGCTGAGTTTCCTTTTTTTAAAATTTTACAGAGCTTTTTGTTAGCGCGATAAAGAGCGTTCCGTCTGAGCTAACTATTAGTAGGAGCACAAATTTCAATTCTAGTAACTATTCGATAGCCCAAAAGATCTTTTTTATATTCAAAAAATTAATACTTTCGTTATTTAAAGGTTGATAGCTGTTTTTCGACTACACCGAATTTTTGGGTGAAAAGTTTTCTCAAGATATTTGCAATATGCAAACGATTCATATATTAATCGTACTCTTTAAGATTTGTAGCTTTACTGAACTTAAGCGGAAAAGGCGAGCGACTCTTTATTGGTAGGTCCAAGTTTGAGTGCCATAGTCCAAGAATAAGGGTTTAAAGTATTAATGAACAAAGTGAAGACACATATTTAGGTCCTGTAATTTTTGTCGCTCATTTTTTGGTGCAGTAAGAACTGTTCATATGCTCAAATATATTTTTGAGGCTTGATTTTTCGTTTCTTTTGAAGTTCATGAACTAATCTGTTAAACGTTATCAAATTACTCCCTTCAACTCCAAAGTTGCGATTGGTCCCAAAAAAACGTGATCGCGTTTCCAAAGATTATGGTTTTTAGATTATTTTAAGCAAAAGTTTCAACCTTAAATACTTTTTGAATTTCAAGGTGATGTAATTTTCTTATTAAACTCGACCAAAAGATCGCAATAATGAAAAAAAAAGTTTTTTTTTCAATTTCAATGAGTTTCTAACCGTAGCATTAACATTTTCGAAACTTTAACATATCAAAACTTGCAACAACCTATTTAGCTGTGCAAGTAGTTTTGTTCATCTTTCCGGAAATCAATATACTCAATTTGAGATTCAATCAATCATTTCCCTGAATTTCCAATAGACGATGATTGGAATATTCGTTTGTGAGATAAAATTTGTTGCCTTATTGATTTTTGCCGCCTCAGGCGCTATTTTGAAATCATTATTTGAACCAATGATTTCTAATCAATCATTTTATATCCGATACAATTGTGATATAACATAAATATCGCTGCTATTTCAAGTGATCAGATGAAACAAACTCGTTTATGTCTCTTAAGTAGTAATTTTACTGCTCCAGCTAATAATTTATTTTAGTGGCCAGGCAGCGAGTTCAAGCTAATGGACCGTTCTGACTTGTTATTGAATCTGCAGCAGAGGATTCTGTAGAACGCGTTGGCGAAAGTCCGACTGGCTAGGGCGTAGCAAAGTGGGTTCACTGTGCTATTTATATAAGTGAAGAAATAGGAGAAGTTGAAGAGCGCGTTGGTTCGCTCCAGAAAAGTTTTGTCTTCCCGGAACAGGGCTCTAACTATGACCAAAGAAGCCCACGGAGTCCAGGTTATAATGAGGGCTCCTGAAACATTAAGAACGTTGTCTTTCGGTTTATGTCATATATTTTATTGCCGTTATTAGAGTTATTTCATACCTGCCGTAAAAACAAACAAGGTAATCGTACCAATGGTCCCATACAAAATGCAGAGAGATAAGTTAGTTAAAAGTTTTAGTATGCATTCTCTAAATTTCGGCAGTGAACTGATGTTTTTGATCATTTCATTTTAACGAAAATCTTAGAGGCAAATCTAACAAAGAAATAATTAAGTCTTCTTTTGGTGTATACCCACTAAAATAATGATTCAAGTGGCCTGATGAGTCCATATTTCTAAAAGAGCTTTTGAAAGGAACTCGTCCCAAAATAGCCAAATTAGCAATATCAAACTCTCTAAAATTGCTAAAAACGATCACAGGTAAAATGAACTTTTAATATTTAGCTCAAGAAGTCACTGGTTTTCAGATGGCATAAGAAATTAATTCAAAAGTTGCTGGTTAAAAAAGTCAAAATGACACGGAGAAATTCATTTAAAAAATCCACAAATAATCCGCAAAATTCTTCGAAAGTCAAACAATAAATGATTTTATTGAGAAAAAGAAAAAAAACTGCTCGTATCAGGGCGAATCCTTGAATGTTTTGATTGGTTTTTAAGGTCTGTGGAGTAGTGTTAGCGTTCAAAAAATCTGTGGAGTAGTGTTGGCGTTCAAAAAATGTGAAACAAATCTCGAGATTTTTTCTGGAAAAACCATCCCCAACAATATACAAGCCGAAACATTTCGCATATTGCAAACTTAATTTTGAGCTCAAAACAATACCTTTCGAAGTAAAATTAAAAATTTCTTCAAAAATTGCTGGTTAAAAAGACGAAAACTGCCTGGAGAGAAAAGTCTAACTCGAGTGAAAGGATTCCGTGAAAGTCGGAACAATAACATCAATAACATTTTTTTGTAGCATATAAGTTTTAAAAAATCGGAAGAAAGGATCAAAATACATTAGCATTTGATTTAGAATGCGACATACATCACTGAAAAACTCTAAAAAAACAGCTCTACAGATCAATATCAAACCATAAATTAAGAAAATAAATGTGGATATCATTTATCGTCTTTTCAAAGCGTCAGCCTATTTAGCAAGGTAAGCAACTGAGATCAATTTTCCTGATTTTAAAATATTCATAATAAAATTTATTTAATACTTTCCGTCAATTTTCATTAAATGTTTATTGCACTTCATTAGTACGGTCAAGTTTGTTCCATAACTATTGTACCGCTTTTAGAAAAAACTAACGGAATATTTGTGCTCCGGGTGGTTTTGTCTCTTCAGACAGTCTCTTCGAAAAGTTATCAGGGCTTAAGGTTTGTCAACTTTTGTTATGTTGGGACAAGTAACGCGCAAGATATTTTGTGCTGTTATCGCATAACTGGCTATTTGAACCGCTCATACGTTTTTTCCTAGATATTTGGCAATGAATTGAGGCGAGATGTTTGGTGTTTTTAATTTATACCTAGACGCTAAGAAAATTACTTTGACTTGACATTGCGTGTAGCTGAAAGTTTTCATTCAAAAATCAAAACAAAACACCTGTTATTTTAAGTTTTGCAATGGATTTTATCAAATTTTAAATTGATGTTTCAACAACTGTTTCAAAAACTTGAAGGGCAGTCGGAAAATTTAGGGGTTTTCCTTAATACGAGCATTCATGTTCGTTTTATCAGCCCTCATGGGTCTTATTGAAATCTATGCTTGATCCAATTTTTTCTAATTAACCATTTAACACAACCCGTACTGAAACTTGTAGTCAAACTTAAATCTGGACATCGAAAATATATACAAAATCCATATCTGTATCAGTCCTGTGGCATGTCGCTTTTTTCCCTGTACATGTCTGTAACTTTATCATTAAACTACAATGGACTACATAATAACCATCTGCGGTTCTGCCGTTACATGGCGCTAAGTTTTCTACATGATCAGACCTGAAGCAGGTATAGTCATTTCTGACCAGGTATAGTCATGTCTGACCAGGTATAGTCATGTCTGTTCAGGTATACTCATGTCTGACTCAGGTATAGTCTGCAAACGGTAGAGGTGATCACATGTGAAAGAGATATGCACAGAGCTGGAAAACAGCTAGTGTCTGACAATTGTATGATTAGACGTGAAATTGTGAGAAGAGTTCGGTACGGGAAGTTACAATTGTGATATAAACTAAATATCGCTGCTTTTTTAAGTGTTCGGATGAAGTAAGACAAGTTTATGTATTTTTAAGTAGTTCAGGAAAAACTGTTCTAAATATGGATTACGTGGCCTTGTCAATCTCGAACCATAAGTTTTCGAAAATTAATTTTTTATGATTACCCTTGGATTGGTCTTTTTTAAGCGGTGGAGATTAGTCACTTAGTACCGTATGGTAGAAAATCATTTTAAAAGTACCCAAGGTCATTTGAAAATTAAGTATGTAATTTCTCCTTTTGAAACGGGCTAGAAACAAACCTCATGGTAAATCACGTGAGGGTGATTATGCTAGGAAATGCTACGGGAGAGGCTCTCTACACTGCGGAAAATCGTGAAAAGACATTAAAAAATAGTCGTATGAATATGTTCGTAGAATTAGAAAAAAGATTTAGACCAGAGCTATAAAGCTGCGTTTTAATGCGGAAGGTAATTAGGAGTATTTGAAGTCTCCCAATGCGAAGTCTTAAAAACTTAACTTCTACTGTTTAAATTTGACTCCCGTTGAGCTAACTAATAAGAAACTTCCTGTCAAAACAGGCTGTTTTTAGGCTACTTTTGACAAAGAATTGCCGCTCTGAAATTATTCACTGGAGCTATCAACTTGGAACCTAACTTAAACGCAGACTTATTGATTAGCAGAATTTCACGGACAAATGATGATTTGACTTTGAGCCGAACTTTAAAATTCAGAGTGTCAATTCAAAGCACTTAGGCAATTATTTGAAAAATCTAAAATGCGGTTTAAGACACCACTGTCGAAATTTTTGAAATATTTTAGCCTTGCGCTTGGCTTTTGCCAGCTTGTATAATTTTGCGGCAATGAGCCTTTGAAGAAATGCTCTTCATAAGAACGGACGTTTTTGGCGTCCGAAGGCTCGTCAGCCAAAGCCGGATGTTGTAAAAGTTTATTTAAAGTAGATCTTTGGAATCCGTTTTTTTTCATATATGAAAAATCGTCTAATCAGTATTGTGCCAAAAAAAGTACTGACCCCCCCCCCCCCATTCAACTTTGGTTGTAAATTTTTCAAGTGGCTATACACCCTTTGGCGCTATTTTCAACAGCCAAAATTTTCCATTTCTGCCTGATCAAACCTATAAACTTCTAAGCTTTTGATCGTAACCCTCCAAAAACGCTCAAGAATGGCATTTCCCTCCAAAAATTGCCAGTTGCCCACCAGCAATTGGCAATTTTTCTTGCTAAATATGGTCATTTTAGGGTATAATCAGAGCTCAAAAAAAGCAAAATGGCAGACCCAGAGGCGGATCTAAGATTTTCTTGAGGGGGCAGATTTTTAAAAAATAATTTTGAAAACTTTGTCGACCTCTTATGCGCACCTAATATATTAAACTTTTCAAAGAGTACTTAATCAATTTATCCAAGATGCTGCGAATAGCCGGAAATTGGGTTAGCTTTTAGGTAATTGAACTAATCGATTCCTGCAGCTTTGTAAATCAGACCGCTTGCATTGAATTTCCTCTGTTTTCACAAATCAACCAAAATTCTCGCTTCTCAGTATTTTTTGACTCTTACGTAACAACAAAGAACATCAAAAGGACACAAAAAATGTTTAAAAGGCCCATTAAAATCTAGTTAAAATTGACGTTAATTCTAAAAGAACCCCATGTGGTTTTGAACTTCCCCACTACAAAAAAATCATCAAAAAGACAAAAAACATTTAAAAAAGATACTGTGAACTTACTGTCCGCTTTGTTCAATTTTTTTTACAATTTCCCTGACCTATTTACGCAATCTCCTCTGTTTTTATCTGATTTGCCTGTGAAACAAAAATATTTCAAAATTGGGCAAAGTCATTACTAGGAGGACTCTAAGAAATTTGGAGTGAAAATGACTTGAGAAGCAGAGAATCGAACTCCACCCCCTCGCTCAGCTCCTCCCTAACTGTAGCCTTAGCCATCACACTAACCCTCGCCCTTTCAAAAAATTATTTCTGTTAACTTACAGCTTATCGATTTTCAATCAAATTATCTGGAAATAATTTTGAACAAAGTATTTGCTTTTTTTGGCACATTTTAAGTAAAATTTTACAGCGACCTTAAGCTTTTCTTCTGAAATATGATCTTTATTTTTTTTAGGACAGCTCGGAAACCCAATTGTGTCGACCTTAAGAAAACTCGAGAAATTTTTGGAAAATTTTTTGACAACCCTCTGACACCTTCGAAAACTTCCCAGAGCCCCACAGACCCGTGGTATTAAAATTCATATTTGCAATTTGATTTTAAAAATTGAAGAAAGAGTACTTTCAATTTATTTAAGAAAGTTGACTTAAGAAGTAGAACTATTTGAAGAACTAATTTTAGAACTAATCGATCTTTTCTTATATATTTTCTTTATATCGATGCAAATTTCATGTGATCAGAAAATAATTTGGGCACTTTCGAGTTTGTGAGTTCAAATTAAAAGCGATTAACTTTTTTTCGCTTTTTTGAATGAGTCATGACCAGTCTTTTCAGTCGAACATCGAAAAAGCCAAATGGCCTTTTCCGCATGAAAAAACATCGCGTGCCATTAAAAATCTCCTTCGACAACCGGCTGATCCGGTTTTGGAAGGACAGATTGATCGATGACGCCGATTGTTATAAAAGGTTTTTATAAGTAAAACCTAAAAGGTTCTAATTGACCTCGCTTGGATGGTACTTTGTGACAAATCCCCTCTCCCTCTAAGTATAAATAGTACAAACAATTTTTATTACAAGTTTGACCCCAGTAATCAAAATTCCCCCTTTTGTGGGAAAATGGTCAAATATACCAATTTAGTGTTCTCCTTTCAAATAGTGGGGGTTCTCACCTGCGACTCATTGTCGCTTACCCTGTCACGCTGTGAAATGATTAAATAGAGCCTTTTATTTTTCTGCTTTTAAAAGCTACGAGGGATCACCTGTGACCATCCGCACTCAGTGAATTCTTTAAGGATGATTTGAAAGGGTCTTTCCCATTACAGCCCCCTCCCCCATCATGGCTAAACAGATAATTTCTGATATGAAATTACCATGAAATAAGAAATTTCAGATCTCCAATAGACGTGTATTGTCGTTTGCGACAAATTGCCGACACGCCAAAAATTTTCAGACGATGAGCTCCGGTATTTTTCAAGAGCAGTTTTTCGGCTCATAAATTATGTATCAGTTCGACGGATAGACAGTTGAATAAACTTCCACTGAACAAAATGGCCGCTACTTTTCATGGATGACATAAAATAGGCCATGAATGATTAATGAAATGGGAAAAATTGGCAGCCGCATTTTTCTGAAAAACAATTTTTGACTAGCAGAGAAAAGTCAGGCAAAAGATAAGGAAAAACAAATAATGTGACTTTTTAGGAAGGGGAAGGAAAGGAAAAACGTCATCTGAGAAATCGATTGACTGATAACAGCTGATTGAACAACCATTGTTGTCAACACGGAAGGTATTCGCTGTTCAAAATTTTGTTTGGAACTGAAAATTAAAGACATGAAATTGAAACACAACAAGAGCCAAAAAGAAAAAAAGCCAGAAAGCAAATATCAGAGACAATTTTAAAAGTTTCGATTAAAATTGCGATTCACATCAAGAGTCAAAAAGAAAACAATGTGCCGGTTGCAATACAGATATCAACGACGGTTTCAAAAAATTGATACAAATTTAATTGTTTCAGATATCTTCACATAAAAAAATAGTTTTGGTATTTTCACCTAATTTTTCCGGTTCGAATATCCAATTAGAAAATTTGTTTGGACTTGGATACTAAATTGTATGAAAGTGAATCATATCATGAGAAAAAGAGCCGGAGTGCAAATATCACAGGCAATTACAAAGTTTAATAAAAATTTAGTTTTCATTTAGTTTGCGGAAACTTCCAATTAAAACAACCAGTCCGAGCATATTAGCATACATATTTGTGTATATACACATACACATGCATACTTCTATACATATAGATATTTATATATATATATATATATATATATATATATATATATATATATATATATATATATATATGTCTGTATATGTATATGTATGTACATATATATAATATATAACCAAAATTAATCGGAGTAGTTTTTTATTCGGCTACTTCAGCAATAACAGACATTTTGGTGATAAAAATCAAATTATTTTGTTAAAAAACGAAAAACTTTTATGGCGAACTATTGAGTCCCACTGGGCCTTTTTTAACATGTGCGCAACTGAAAATTTTTCCCGGTAAACATGATTTTGTCGGTTTTTTGTTTGTTTGCTCAATTTTTTGTCGGCCTAGCATCACGGATTTTTTGCGTTCTAAGCAATTATCACTGTATTTGCAAGTGTTGTTCATTGAAATTTCAGGGTGGAAATGAAATTTTAAAAAAAGTTTTATTTTTTTTTCGACTCAACTGTATCTGATCAACAATGGACGACTTTGTTTCCGCTTGTATATTTTGTTCCGTCGATGAATTAAATTCAAGCGACCTGCTTGGCATGCTTACCTAGAATTGTTGTTTGATAAAAACAGGTATTATGGAAATGTATGGCGTTGAGTTTTTTTTATATTTTTTGAGACGCTTTAGAAATTTTCTTTCTCTCCAAAACCAACCAACCAATCTGAGATTGAGTTTATTAGAGTGAAAAAATATTTAAAAACTTCCCTGCATTAGTGGCCAATCGCATTTTTAACACAAGTTTTATCGCCTTTGGAAATTTTTGATTTTATGACCGTATTTTTATCTTTCCAAATTTTTACCAAAACTACTATCCCAAATCCGAGTTTCTGGGTTGAATCGAAAGTAGAAATTGCGTAAAATTTTTCTGCACAAGCGGCTTCACCCATTTTTTTCAACAAAAACCTATGATTTTCGGAAAAGTCAATTTTTTGATTTGTTGACCGTTTTTTAATTTTTTTGATTTTTCTCGACAACCATCCTGCCACATCTGATATCAATTGAAACAAACTAAGAAGTTTCCTTTATAAAGTGCAGCGCTCATTTTTCTTACAAAAAAATTATTGCAGTAAAATATCAAAGTTTTGAAACTTTGACTGTTTTTTGGAATTTTTTTTCAAAAACTACTCTGCCAATTCTCAAGTTAAAGGGTCAATCCATCGAAAGACTTGGTTGCAAGAACTTTTCCGACAGAAGCTGCGAATGTTCAAATTTTTGTAAGAGGAAAAAGAGTTACGTCTTTCGGAAAATTCCAAAATCTGGAAAATTTTTCACTCTCTCATTTAAGAAGAGAAACAACTATGATTTTGGGAAAAACCCTATTTTTACCAAAAACCTTAATTTCCCAGATTTTTTTACTCTTGTTCAATTTTATCTAGACAGCGAAAAAATTGGTTCACCTTTTTTTCAACATTTTTCTCGACTTCAAATTTTCTGTTTCATGTTTTTGTTGTATCGAAATTAGCACGAAGCTCCGTTTTGCCTCTGTGTAACAGTTTTGTTTTCCTTTTAAGAGCAGCATTAAAAATTTATTCTATATTTTTAAATTAAAGAGCGAGCTAAATAAATCAACAAAAATGATTTGCTGCACAAAAAACATTTCACTATCTTATTATTCGGTTTTGATTATCACTCAAAAATTTGAAGTTTGCCAATAAATTTGAAGTTTGCCAATAAATAGCTCATTCACCGAAAAATATCCGAAACCAGTTAAGGGGAAGACGGGACATTCTGATACGCGCAATCACCTTTCGGTTTTATGCAGGCTATCGGAGATATAATTTTGTCTTTCCTATGTGGGAGCAGCGATACGCTTGTGTGTCTTTAACACACGACATTTCTTTTCAATTTTTTTATTCATATGTTCACTCAGATCAGACATAATAACATTATTTTCATAGATCTAAGTTCTTCTCGATAAGTGTGGCGAACCCCCCCCCCCAAAAAAAAAAAAAAAAAAAAAAAACTTGTTGACTTAATTTTACTCTCAAACAAATAAATAGGTTTTCCAACCTCTCCCAAAGCATTATAAGGGCCATCAAATTTTTAAAAAGCTGTTTTTGGAAGATATCCATAAGAAAATTGCATTTTTGGTTGCCAGCACTTCCTAAAAGTTATATATGACGATATACCAATTTATATACCAAAAGCGCTTTTTTAAAATTTTTTTTCTAATTGTTGAACAAAGTCCGCCACCCAAATGGCCCCTGGGACTAACTATACACGAGAACGCATAATTTTGCACTGAAGAAAATAACGAGACTTACGAGGCGATATAAAGTTATTTATAACAAAAACTGTTATAAAAATTGGCCTAACTTACCAAGAATAAATGTAAAGGCTTTAAAAGCCTTCTTATTTTGAGCTTCTGCCATTGACGCCACAGAGACAATCATCGATGAGATTTTTCTCGTCGAAGCTGAAGTAGTTTGTGCAAATGAAATTTTTCTATCATCGCCGAACCCATTGCAGTTCATTTTCATGTCAGCTCGTCTCTGTGAGGGAGAAATCGGTTTTTTCCTGCCCGCTCTAGGACTGCTTAGACCCAGTCGTCCACCTAACCTCGGGCTTCTGTTCAGCTCGTTTCCGAACACGGACTTGATGTTTTCGTCCGCGCTTTCATTCGCAATTACGAAGATTGTCGCGCCTGAAAGTTCAACTGCTGCCGCCGCCGCTGTTTTTGCTGAAATGTTCGGACCCGTTTTAGCGTCGTAACTCAAATTTACCGACGAGAGTGTCGGTCGTCGTACTTCGCGTGGTCTCGGTTCGGCGGCAACGACCATATTTTGTGACATGTTTTTCTTCATACGAGCCGACGTGCGGTATAATTTAAAATACAGTCCGCATAGAATTGGAGTTGGGATCCAAAAATAGACAAGAGCTGCGAGGATAGAACCGAAAAAGGAGTCTTCGTAGTAGGGTGTGCAAAACTCTTGTTCGTATTGGAATCCTTTGACTATAGCAGGCCATACAAAGACCACTATAAACCAAAAGAGAAGACAGCCTAGCCACACGTACAGAATCACCTAAATAAAACACAATATGGATTTTTGTTACTCGCCTAAGTTAGCTTGGTTTTTTTTTGTATTTCATTGTGAAAAATGTGATACTATTTTTGGACCCAATTTCTTTTTATCAAACTTTCCAAAAAGGGCTCAAAAAAGGCAACTTTGCATTTTTCTGAATATCGTCTTTGTCTGTCTAAAAATAACGTCAAAAAGTTTTCAAAACTTTTGAAAATCCTATATCTGCCTCCTGTGAATGATCAAATATCCTATTGAAATTTTCGATTGATGAAAACGTCAATAGGTTAAAAGCAGCTTTTTCCAGAAATGAACTTGCCTTTTTGACTTTAAGACTGGTCCTCTGAGCCCTGTATCGCATGGGGTCTTCGATGGAGAGGAATCGGTCGAAGCCTATGGCGATGATGTTGAATATGGACACGTGTGTCAACAGATGGTCCAGAGTGAGGTAGGAGTAGCAAATCACCGGTCCCACCGGCTCCAAGTCCAGAGGGGGGGTGGTCACGATGTAGCGGAACACGTAGATCGACATCGAGAACAGACCTTGACAGAAGAAAGAACGCTTCTTTTTTTCAGAAAAAAAAACATTTTGGTTCATTTTGGGTTGAGTCATCAATGGATTTGCAAACAGACAAGAGCGGAATTCTTTAAAAAAGTCACTGCAAATAAGCAAAAAATTTTGCTTTATCGGCAACTTTTTTGCGATCTTTTTATTCAAGTTCTGTACATACTTGCGCAAACATTGGCTTCAGAAAAGCTTAGGCTTATGAATAGAAACGGACTAAATGCTTAGATAGGCTGAATAGTGTGGCATTTTAAATGCTATGTTCGTTTAGTAAAATAGTCTTTTATAGATCCTCTGCGAATTGCAGAAACTACAGTTTTTTAGGGTCATCTCGTCTACACCATTTTAAAAAAAGTGGTATAAAAGGAGGAGAGAAAACCGGCATCCAAGACCAAAGATGGTGGTCCGCGATCTCTGAATACGCTAATAATACCCTATCTCAAACCCCTCCCCTTCCCAGTTCAGGACTATTTTGAAGTGACGCCGCCGATTTGAACTTACCGACTCCCATGTCAGCTAGAGCGAGAGAGAAAATGTAGTAATTGCTGACAGTTCTGATTTTTTTCTCGAATCGGAACGACATCAACACTAGGAAGTTGCCCCCTATGGTCACAACCACACACAACACTGCTGCCGAGTACATGATTATGTAATTGCTCGTGAACAGAATAGAATCCTCCCCCGATTTCCTACTTGAGGAGTTTTCCACGCCATTCGAAAGGAATCCGATATTTTTAGTGTTGTTCATAATTGAGGTAAAACAAAATGTCAAAATAGGACGAAGCTGAAGAGGATCCTTTGTTTTGTGGCAATAATTTTAGCAAAGCTTCAATAAGTGTTCATAATTTCTTTGAATTCCATTCATCAATGCTCGGTCCTGTAATAGAAGAAGATTCTTAATTTATCAACTTCACTATTGTCTAAAAGGAAACACTTAAAAACAAAACTGATAACCAAACCTGAAGAAACGCAGAAGCAATATCAAAAAGAGCTATATGATTTTAATTACTATTTTTGATAGATAAATGCCTCGCTTCTATACAAGAAGTCTAAATTTAGTACTAATTACACGCCACGGTGAAGGCTTTTTCTGCTGGCTTATGATTACTAACAAGCTCCTGGACTAGCTCGAATTTCACGTGTCTCGTTTAATGCAACACTTCAAGCTGAGCTGGTTTATTCGAATAGAGTTTATCTTTTTTTTTGCATAAGGGAAAAAAGCTATTTGAAAAAGGTGGATTTCTGGCCAATGAGAGACTTTAAAATTAATCAAGGAACATTTCATCGATAATGGCTTCCGATATTTCCCCGTACCATGGGATGATGAAGCAGAATAAAATAAAGATACTATAGGCAGAGGAAGGTTATCGATACCTTAATAGTTTAGTTGATCACAAAAGCGGAGAGAGGAATGGAGATTGTTCCGACCACGAAGTACGGGGAGGAACTTTGAATTCGATGTTTTCATTTTTGTTCCGCACAGAATCAGGTACCACAAACAAATGTCAATTAGGATGAAGTTGTAGATCGATTTCTTTCAATCGGGGTTTATTCGATATTTTTAGCATGTTGGAGAAACGATTTGGAAATTTTGCTTTTCAGTCCAATTTAGAGCGAGTTAAGCCAGTAAGCCAAGAACGACTAAAACGAAAAAAATATATATTTGATTAGGCTGTAGAAAAAAAACTTTTTTTTGTGAAGCGAGAGACATGTTTTCGAAGCTTAAGTCGGCGCTCATCCGCAAATAAAAGTTCAGAATTACTATGAAAAAATCTCAAATCTTTTAGAAAAAATGTTTAGAACATTTTTCTTTGCAAAAATTTGGTATCTTCTTAACAATCGCCCTCCCTTTGGTATCTACTAAAGAATTACCACCCCAATAAATAAAGCAGTAAATTAGCGCAAGAGAATTCTATGTAAAAGCAGAATTTTGCTGCATTCTGATTGGTCGAAAAATCTACTAATTTAACCTACTCTACAGTTGTCCCCCCTTTATTGAAAGGGGCAATTGTTAAGTAGATCCGAAATTTGCCTTCAATGTTTTAAAAAAATTGTGCAAAAATTAGCAATAACGAGTGCTTTTAGCTTTTTTTTAGTCTCCTCCACTAGTTATTTTTTCAATTAGTTTTTTTATTTTTGGGAACATTTTTTCTTACATAACTTCATTTCATTTTGATCTTTTCCTTTTCCAAAATCAAGTGTGATAAAACCTCCAAAAAATAAATTGATTGAATAAATTTTTAATTTTTGCAAATAAATTTCCCAAAATCAATGTTAAAGAGTATGTTACTCATAATATAACACATTTCTATAAAATATCATCCAAAAAAAACAGTTATGCATCGCGGAAAGACGAAATTTTAAAAAAAGTTTCTGTTAGTGAAAAAGTTTAACCGTCAGAATTTGAATGTAGAGGTAGCAAAGTTGGCAAATTGCATGAACTAGGTAAAAGTAAAAAAACTTCATTTTTTCATCAGAGCGAATTGTTCAAAGCAAATTAGTGTTTGTAAAGAAACAAAGTGAAGTTGTTTTTTATGCATTTCTTCAATTTTTCTATTCTAAAGTCAAATAAAGTAGTTCATAACAAGAAAAAAAACTTGATTGATGTCAATTTATATCAACTTTATTTACTTTATTGTTTTCAAAAGATTTTCAATTTTTCCAGGGCACGGAAAAACTGAACAATAAAATACCTTACCAAAATTCAACAAGAATAAACAAGTTTTAAACAGACCAAATAGCATGCCTCAATTCAAATTGAAACGACTTCTAATACGGATTAAACTTCCGCTTTTGCATTAATAGCACGAAAAACATCGCGCGTTAATTGACCCAAAGTGGCTGAAATGACAATCTTTGAACCCCAAAATGACAATCTTTACAAATTATCACAGGTAAAATTTCCTTTTTAATTTGAGCTCAGGACAACAGTACTTTTCAAGTAATGGAAAAACTCCAATGAAAAACGGTAGTTAAAAATTCGACGTTTGCCAGGAGAACAAAACCACTTTCTTCGAAAATCACTTTTTTCGAAAGTCGGAAAAACAACCGAAATTAACCTTAATAACAAATTTTCCCCCAGCAAAAAAAAACATATTTAATCTAAAATTTTTGGTTTAAACTCAGCTCTCTCAGTTCATAATTTTGGTTGGTATCAATTTTGTTGCAGATTTTTTTGACTCCCTATGAGCTAAAAGTTAAATGCATGGAAACAATATAACATTTAGATTCAAGGAAAAACTTGGAATGCTCAGACTGGTATTAAAAAATCCTGAAAAACCAAAAAATTTCTCGAAAAAAAAACAACTATTTTCATTCTTTAAAAACTATCTCACCACTTGCAATGTCGGAAAAATTTGAAGTCGGAAACTTGATGGAAATAACAGACGAATGTTGAAAGACTGAGCGCTAAAAATGAGTTTTGTTTAGCGAGCAAAAAATTGGAATCCAGAGGCAGTGCAAATTTTTGAGACAAATTCTACGACATGATTGGTTTGGGGTCTGCCGATAATTTCGTTGTGGCATTTGAAGTGAATTGGAGCCAAATGTCGCTGGTGCACACTGGTTGTCAGTGAAATCAGCAACCAAAATATCTTTTTGTCAATGGATTCTCGTAGTCAGTGATTTTCGCAATCAAGATAATCACTTTCTCGTCGGGTTCAGACAACACTTCGTTTAACAGTTTAAACATATATCGGAATATATCATTTTTTTATATAATATAACAAACCTGATAGCACCTTCAGTTTCAAAAAAATCTTCTGCAATTTCACACTTTCATTTTGCCATCCTATTTTTCCTGCAAAGGAGACAAATTTACTCATTTTACACCTTTTTCCGGGAACTGTTAAGGCAGTCACTTCTTTTTACCCATTTTTCCAGGAAATCATTACAAATGGTCAAGCAGCAAAAAGTGAAGGACTAACTCACAATCAAATTGGCAACCTGCCATCTCGTTTGCTCTTCCCTGTTGGTAAAGCTATAATGATGTAACTTGATAACTCTATTTCAGCGATTTGGACCTTAAAAAGTATTCATTGGGACGATTTTTTAAAGACGATAATGAAAAAATAAACACAAAAATTTGAACATTTTGAACATTTTATACATTTGTTGCAGGATTCGGAAAAACGCTTCAGCGTTTGAGATGAAATGTATTAAAAAGTGATAATCATTAATAACATTCTCTAAATACTGAAAATTGGAACGTAATTTTATTCTATTGTTCAATAAGTATGTTCAATAAGGATTCAGTTGGCTGCACTAACAAACAATGGAACCCAGCAACCAAAATAATAAATTGACAGCGGATTCTACTGAAAAAATGTGGAATTCATAGAAATTTCATGGAATCTACTTGAACAGCCAAAACACGTTTTTCTCTAATGAAAAAAAACTTGTCTGTTTTTTATGTGGGGTCATTTGTTAGTTGAAATCACTGATAAAACACTTTAAAAAACATTCAAAAGAAGTATCCGTGAAACCACCAACTTGCGATTAGTTATAAAACCGAGCTTGGCGGCGTAATGTCGTAACGCACAATATATGAACTAAAACTGCTGGCATGTCGAATGTAAGCGCAGCCAGCTTCAGGCATATAACTCGCGTACAAACAAAATCGAGTTAAAAAATAACGATTCGAGAATATCAAAAACTTTAGTAACAAAAAATTAACTGACTGAGAGTCAAGATTTTTGTTAAATTTAGATTTATTAAAAGCTTTAGAGCTCTGTCGCGACACGAATTGGTCGAACTTTTTTAAAGCTTCAAATTCCAATTAGATTTTCTGTCACAAGTTAATAGCCGCGAATTTTGCTCTAAAGATTAGAAGCTGATTGCTAAATGAAACCCTGAAGACAAAAAGTTACCCTCGAAACGTCTCCAAATAGTGAGTTTGTTTTTATTTCTCCGCTTTTGAAGGAAAACGAAACCTATCTGTGAATTGTGTTGAATTTTTTGTCTCTCTGCTCAAATCTTGAGCTATTCGCAAAGCCCAGCAAGTTCAAAAAATAAATTTTCTTAGCTTCTCATGAAAATAGCTGCTAAACTCAAATGCGTCTAACCATAGGTGCGCTCATTTACGTTTGTAAAAATGTCTAATACTTTCAATTGTGAAACCAGTATATCGAGAGCTAAATCCAGCATACGTGGCCTACATTCTAATGAAAAAAGGAGCTTTGAAATGATTTTTTCTCTTAAATTGTTTTTGGAGAAACTTTGCGATCAAATTTTGACTAAATTTTTAATTCAAAAAAAAATTGTTGTTTTTTTGCAAAAAATTATCACCAAATTTAAAATAATTTTTTATTTAGCTAGCCTCAATTCCTTCAAAATTTTCTCGCTAGAATTAATTTGCCGCTACTCGTAGAAAAAGTTTTCACTCGAGTTTGTTCGCCGCTACTTTTTAAAAATTTTCGCAAATTGACCAAAACAACGATCTCAAATTTTCATTATTTTGCGCAAAAAATCCTCAGGCAAAATTTTTAATTCAATTGGAAATTAGGAAAAAAGTGAAAATTGGTTTTTCTCCAATTTTAAATTTGAAATGAATTTTTGGAAGAAACTTTGGATCTACTTAAAAGTCTCTTCCCCCCTATGGTATCTACTTAACTACCTCGCCCCCTATGGAGAAGTAGGGTCTTATGCACTAAACGGCCCAAAATCACTTTTTCTAAATCGTAAGCTGGAAATTATGCGATCAAATTTGATTGGGTAATTTTAGCCAATCAAATTCAAGTTATACAGTCAGGCATTCCGATCAACTTTTCTAGCAGACAAAAATATTAGCCAAAAATGCCGAAAAGGTGGACCTTTGAGTTAAATTATCAAATTTTTTTGAGTCACTTCTGAAACCTTGCCAGACAAGCAAAATTCAGTAAAATGGCTTGAAAAAACAAAATTCAATTTTCTTTATCATTTAGGCTAATAATAATAATCTGCTTAAAATTTCAACTGAAATGGGAAGAAAATGTAGATGGAACTTGATTGGCTAAGTAGCCAATCAAATTCATCCACAATAATTTCGGTTCATGAGATGTAGAAATAATGAATTTGGGCCGTTTAGTGCATAAGACCCGAGAAGTACAGTAAATTATTGCATAGCTTTCTATTGCGAATTCTAGTTTTGCTGCATTCTGATTGGTCGAAAATTCGACTGTTTTAATCTACTTAACAATCTTCCCCTTTCTTAAAAGGGAGGAGGGAGAGATTGTTCAGTAGATCCGAAACTTTTGCGTTTTTTTTTCTTGTCTGTTTCTATAATCTTTGTTCTAAAAAGCGACCAATTTTTGTTCTGAAGTATAACTTTTGCTTTCCCCCTCCCCTCCACTCTTCATGTTCGCTGCATCAATGGAGCTTAAGTGCGAATTATTCCATCGCGCTTGAATTATACTCACTGTTTTAGAATAACAGGTAAATTCCTTGAAGCGCGCATAAAATATTTTACGGTTCAAACAAATAGGTTACTCAGAAAGCCAGCACCAATGTACTCCGAAAGAACTCAAAAACTCTATACCAATGAATTGTCGGTGGAATCCCTTATGCGCGAAGGACCGAATGCGCGAAAATAAAAATCAGCCAATTAGATTTCGGTAATCTAAAATTTGAAAAGAAAGTAAACATTTCCAGGGACTGGAGTATTG